ACTATTTTAACTACAAACTTGAGTGTTTTTCCACCGATGGCGCCACTGACTCTATAAAACTAGTATTAATAAAATATTTTTTAAATTGACAAATTTGACGCAATTACACATGTCCTAACCATTTTATTATTTCATACGATTACTATTTAATGTTATTTTAGTTTGATTACAAGGAAAATTAGATATTTCGAGTTCACGTCATTTTAGAGTTCGAGTTCGAGTTCTCGTTTTTTAAGTGCATGGGATTTCGGTCATTTCCGTGTCCATGAATCGAGCGAATATACGAATGTATATAGATAAACAGATAATTATCAGGAACGTATGCTAAGTATGTAACGTTACTGTATACATTCCATCTATGGGTAATTAAGCGATACTAAACCAAATAACTATACTAATACTAATGTTTTTCTTTTTTAAGTTTTGACCTGTTTTGACAATTCGCCATCACCCCTGATTAACCTCCATGATCAAAACAATGGCGGGTTCTGCGTTAAGACGATTAGTGGCAGAGTACAAACGTAAGAAACAAATTCTAGTTTCACACATTTGTATCATGATTTCTCCTCTGTTTTTCTTTCTCCTTGATTTCAACTGATAATGTAACGTACATGTAATTTACAGAGCTAACCTTAAATCCACCCGAAGGGATTATCGCTGGTCCGATAAACGAGGAAAATTTCTTTGAATGGGAAGCTTTAATCACGTAATTATCTAAACAGTGAATGTAGGCTTTTTTTTTACTTATACAATTATTATTTTTTCGCTTAAACAGTGTGTTTTACATATGTTTACATACCTGTATCATGCTTAAGATTTTTATTTGTAATGTCATTCAAATATATATAGTTACATTAATGTATGTTTGGTACAAAATTTCTTCTCTTTTATTTTTTGTGTATTTTTGATACTTGTTTCTAGTGGACCGGAAGGAACATGCTTTGAGGGTGGTGTATTTCCAGCAAAGTTAATATTTCCACCAGACTACCCACTGAGTCCACCAAAGATGCAATTCACCTGTGAGATGTTTCATCCGAATAGTAAGATTTTTCTGTATTGAGCATTTAAATTATTCTATTGAAATAAATGATGAAGAATGTACGATTTAATTTTTTAATTCAGTCTATGCGGATGGACGAGTATGTATAAGTATATTACATGCACCTGGAGACGATCCTATGGGTTACGAAAGTAGCGCGGAAAGATGGAGTCCGGTTCAAAGCGTAGAAAAAATATTGCTAAGCGTGGTAAGTATGTTAGCAGAACCAAATGATGAAAGCGGAGCGAATGTTGATGCCGCTAAAATGTGGAGAGAGGACCGTGCCGAGTTTGAAAAAATTGCTGAAAAACTAGTTAGGAAAACTCTTGGTATCCCACCTTAGATTTAGATGTTAAATATTTAATTGGAAAGAGAATTGTAATTAAAATATCATATAATTCGGTGTAAAATATGTATTATGTTTAAAACAATAAAATTGTATTAATGTAATGTGTATAAGCATACCTTGGATTCTCTTAAATATTTAGGGTTAATTAAAATGATAAAGAATAAATACAAGTATTCGGAAGTAAATTGATATTTATTAATAAACAATACTGAAGTCCAACTTAAAAATGCAATGTTTATGACTAGCACTTGTCAATTATATATAACAAACGATAATAAAGATCGATGTACCAATATATTCTAGTCAAAGTATAACATTATACATCTTTAAAAAATCTAGGAGTCTTCAGTTTTATTGTAATGTCGTTTTTTGCTGTACTTAATTATCTTTACACAATTTAATACAATTACTATACTAGATAAAATTAACGGTTGACACCATACATATTTATGTAATTAACAAAAAAAAGTTGAAAAATTCTAAGGAACAAATAAGGGAATATAGTTTAATGTTATACTTTGAGTACAATTGTAAACTTTGGTATACAACAAATACATACGACTCTATGCCAAGTATATATTTCGTGAAAGATCGATCGTGATATTCTTCTAATTAAAGATTTGATCGAACCATACATTTTCACAACCAGATTCAAAGGTGTTCTATTTAGAAGAATACTTACTTTTTTATTTAAAAATTGTATACCCTTGACTATTACTGGTTTTTTCTCCTTATGGAAAATGTACAGTTTAATTGCGAGCTTTCATCAATTAACAATAATGTTACATTTTAGTGTGAGTATACATTGAATTCAATACTTTTGGTATGCTTCCACTAGGAAAGCATTATAAAAATACAAAACTATTCAGTGACACACATCGTCGTCCATAACAATGCAAAAGTAATATTTATTTGTAAAACAGATCGATTCAAAGATGCTTGGCATAGAAGCTCTTATGTTTTATTTATTAATGTCAAGATTAATTATAGTAAAATATAATTAAATAAAGCATCGATGCTTTCCAGTAACGCTAATTTTTCTATAACAATACATATGTGCAACTTATAATTAATGTAAAATATATTTGTTATAAAATGGTACTAATTCTGCTCTATATACCTCCCTCTGCGGCTGAGGTACCATGGTGCCTTTAACCATTAATTATACGCACATGTTTCACATATGTTTAGATTCATTCTTAGATTTAATCTTTTCAGACAATCTGGTAATAGTAATTGTATTGCAAAATCTACCACGTGAATATTGAGTATAAAATTTGTTTGTGTAGTACTGCAACGTTCACGAAAGTGCAAACAAAAGATTCTGAGCAATATGTATATGTGGCCCTCGCTATTCCATGATTTATAAAGCTGCACAGGAAAAGCAACTTAAAGATGAAATGAATTAAAAGTCTGTTAATCAATGTGTCTAATAATAACAGTCAGTACACATTTCGTATAAAAACTTTCTCCTTCCTTGAAAAATCTATCCTTATATCAGCGCTTCATAATATGAGCCCTGTATAACATTAAAGAATACAAATATATCAAAGTAATGTCTCTCTTTCTGAAGATGAGATTATACACTTCTTCAGAAAAAAGACAGAAACAAAAATATATATTATTACAATTCACTAAATTTATCTGAAGCTCCTTTCTACTTTTCCATTTGGTTACTTGAAATTGTGAATTGTTTGAAAACTTTTTTATTTAATTTATATTCTTAGTAGTAAGTTATAAGCTAAAATTTATACGATGATTGCAAATAAAACACAATCGAAAAATCAGAGTTTAATTGGAATCTTGCCTGAATGGTGAAAATCATCCATGTAGTTACAATAAAACTAATTACATAAAATTAATAATAACGTAACTAAATTCGATTAAGTGCATTGCACGATGTTATCTTGTTAAGTTAATCTGAGCACAAGAATAAACAGTGACTTCGATTACCTTGATTCAACTGCATAATTTAAGGAATCAGAATTCCATAATTTATAATTTTATATAGCACCAGTCGCTAATCAGTTTTAACACAGAATTGTTTACCTTTCAAGGTAAATATCATTAAATCTTATTTTAAAATTGGTTATTAAGAATGAAAAAAAAAAGTGCTATACATAGAAGAAAATTGCACGTTGTAACATCAATTATACTTCAAATATTAAAAAATCACAAAATATACATAGTTAATATGACGGAAATTCATAACTTCTTAATAAACTAATATTATGCTATCAAATCAAATTATACACACATAAATATAATTATATTATAAAGCAACATAATTAAATGAAACTAAGTTCCATTCAAAGATTATTTTCAAAATTAATTATCCATATTAATTTGTGAGGAAATACGATTGATGCTTGCATGAAGATACTTATACAGCATTATGATTCCATTAGTTCGTTGAATATTTCTTCTAAGTTAATCAGTCTGTGGCAGCTACGTCTAAACTTAAAATGTGATACAACGACTCGTTAAACCGATTAATATTGAAACTTCCTACAGTTGATAGACACAATAACTGATTTTTTATATATGCCAGAATATATTTTAATGTAACGTTAGCCTACTGCCTTTTCCCATAATTGCTTGTACGTGCATCAATGTTCAGTAACATATTCATTGACTTTGTATTCATCATCCAATGAAATGGAACGTTCTATGTAAGATATAGATTGACTATATATTTATAGTCCTTTTAGTTATATTAAATCGCGTATTTCAGACTCTTATACGATAGTAATCAATGTACTACGTAATTGAATAATCTCCGACAGACAGATAATTCATTAACGAAAACTCAATAAAAGTAAACGTATTTACGATTCTAATATCCAATTTAAAATAGCGATATAAGGTATATGGCACTCAAGAAAGAGTTATTCGATCAGTGGATTGCATCGTGAGATACGAATATTATATGCTCATCGCGTCGTACGGAATTTTTAACGTTATTTTAAAACAATAAACAGGAACTTAAAGAAATTTGTTGGAATTACTCAGAGTATCCCTAAAATAATTCTAACCTAATGAAAAAAAAAAAAAAAATAAGTTTCGCAATCAAGCAGCAATTTATTCGTATATTTCAATGTACGTAAGAGTGAATCCCGATGAAAAATTATTTTTCAACGAATTTTACTTCTTCTCCCATTTGTTTTCTCTCGTTTTTTTTTTAGTACGTTTACGTAAGTAACTACGTCATTTATAAACCTACGTACGAGCTGCGTGGAACGGATTACCATTCTTTTCGAAAAAATATTAAATATTATATTAAAAATTTAAACCAACGTACAAATGGATGGAGAAACCAGCAATTTTGTTATATTTCATCATGATACTGTTTAACAGAGTCATATGAAATAAAACCTTGTAAACTCTTTCATCTTAAATCATATGTAACACGACATTTAAACATTTGGCAAGTATTTTACAAAGATGAAGAACAAAAAATTATGTATTTGTACCTCACGATAGGCCTTGCGGTGTGAAACAAATCTTCTCTAATTCACCAGTCGAAGAACTAACAGGAGATTCGGCTCTGTCGTCTTGTTCAGCTAATTGCTCGGTGTAATAATGCGGCGTGCTCAGGTAATCGATGAGCCGCCGGGGCAGAGGTAGAGTTGAAATAAGATCCCTGCGTACCATCTTCAAAATAACAAATCTGCACGTGTGTTGTAAGCTCTGAACCTGTTTGAATCTCGACACTGGATGGAGAAGTTGTACACGCATCGGACCTAACACTGGCCGCCGATGAAGAAAAAACAGGTACCGCCCGCTACGCGAATGCTCTACCGCATTTTCAATGAAATCGACAATTGTATGTGACTTGAATTTCGTGCAACTTCCAAAGCTGAAATTACCTGTACCCATAATGACGTACAAAAATGCATGTTAGTATTGATATACATATGAACATTCCTGTCGAAAAGAAATTATAAAACTTACCCTGATCATGCTCTATTCTCACATGTCGTACACAACTGTTAAGTCTAAACGATAAAGAGAAAATATAATGGTCGTCGCTACTATCTCGTACGATGAATGACCCATCTGGTTCGTTGGACAGTATCTTCTCCGCAGCTTCACCAGATATCGGGCCCCAATACCATCCGTACTGTATCAAAGAATTCTTTGATTGCAATATACATTTTAATATTAAATACGTATTAATATTATGTAGAAATTTAAATTACATACATTCTTCACTTTCTCGATGCTGGCAGCAAAATCCATGCTGGTATCCTCTGTTGATTCTTCTTCAACTTTTGAAATAGACGCAGACATTTGTTGTACAGAAGTCGGACTATCGCATTTAGATACCATCGTTGTAAGCGCGTCTTCCGCTTGTTCCACCCCAACGTCTCCGTTGCTGTTTGGCAACGGCGGTAATGCACGCTTAAAAAAAGGTAACTTTTGCACAGAGGAATCTACCTCTGAGGTAGTGTTATTATTATTAGCATGTTGGTCAGAATCGACCCCTTCTTCCTCTTCTACAATTTCACCCTGTACAATGCTGTTTCTTTTCTCTACAAAGTGGTCCGGAGAACCCAAACGCCTGAATCTAAAGATATTGCAAAGCGTTTGCTTCAGATTCAGCGAGAAATTTCGTTGACTCTTCTTCATTTTTTCCCTTTCAGAATCAACCTTCTCCTTGTGTGGTTCCTCTTTTACTTTTTTATGTTTAATACTAGCGAACGTATTCTTTTTATGTTTCTTAACGTTACCATTATTATTATTGTTATTATTATTATTATTATTGTTATTGTGAATCAGTCCATTGCTATTTTTGTTTGAGATTGGAATATCTGTCGACGAGTCTGTATGTGGGTTACTATACCTATTATTATTATTTACACTAATACCTTTCGGTGTCGCAAGGTGTATAGGTGTATGACTTATCGGAGCCTTATTATCGCGTTTAAGTTTATTTTCACTAGAATCACTGGAGCTTGAGTATAGGGTTTGCAGATATTGGCGCACTTCATGTAAAGTCATATGAATCGGTTCTCCAATATTATGCATGTGACCATTAGATGTGCGAGTTCCATGTCGGCCCGACGTCCCTGGGACACTGTGACGTTTTCCATTCCCGCTCTCGTTGCAACATACATCGGATAACAGTCTCTGTGATTTAATAACGTGAGTAATAGCACGAGGTTTCCCGCAGTAATGTCTTGCCTGTTGAATATGGGCTTCCAATTCGCTCTGAGAACTAGCAGATACGTTTCGTCTTCTCTTACGATGATGTCTATGACGTTTCGGCCTTTGCTGTATTCTAAGATCATGCAAAGGTCTAACAACATCTATCGGTACAGTATAAATATCAGAATCAAAGGGCACGTTGTACATATCGCTGATCTCGCTTGTTGTTAAAACGTCGTGCGACATAGCGGAAGTTATGAAACTACTGTCATCTACTTTATGACTTAATCCTGAGGTATTTATCGAATTATGAGAACTGGACAAGCGAGAAGATGCTAAAGAACATCGTGAATTCGGACGATTCAAAGTGTTATACGGAGTAATCAACGTGGTAGCACCTTGACTCGACGAAGGAGTCAACAGGTCTGTCGCCCAAAAACGTTTTGGATTGTGCATGCTGCGAGTTAACACTGGTACACGATTTGTTGCGGGTGCTATTCTTCCTTCTGGCCATGATATCCTACAAGATATTATTAACGCTTCTTCAATTGTCGACTGTACTAAATTTTCAGCGTAATCGTCTATTAATTGTGGAACTTTCTGTCTCATTAAACGTGCATAGCTAAGAATCGGTGCAGATGAAGATTCTGAGTTCGGAGGAGAGGGACTATCTTGAAACTCTGGCGGAGGTTTAATAGCTACGTCGACCACTTCGACTTCTAGTTTTCCATCGGCATCGGCCCAACCTGGTCCTTTTTTTAACGTATTAAAATTTTCGCCGCACATACCATCCGAGTAATCGAAAGAATCTTGCGACAAAGATTTACTCTCGATATCGCTTTCTTGCATCTAAAACAAATAAGAGTATTCATCCAGCTTGAAACACTCTGTATATTCTTAATATCTTATCCAAATATTAATATGCCAAAATAAATTATACCTCGATTGCGAGATGCGCTCGAACGGAATCACTAGAAATGGACCCTCCAATTCCACTGCTACCAAGATCGCTGAGAGGTCCAGTAGCGCTTAGCGAACATGACGGTGGAGAGTCCATCTCGATGCTTGCAATTTGTTTCGTTCGCTAAAAGGTTTATAGTAGCCAAAATTTCTGGAAGTTCCACATTGTCGCCTACAATATCGCAATAAACATTTATAGCAGAAGTTTGGCCTCCGATTGATCATAAATTTTAATGTAATGTTCTTCATTTAATAACGAATCACGTTTATCTTTCTCACATAGATTAAAGAATCTTACCTGAAAATAACAATTACGAGTAATACGCGAATGTTTCGTGATCTTCATGTTTACATACATGCTTGTACTTTTCGCATGGTCCATTGTGAATAAGAAACTGGAAGTACACGAAAAAAAATACTTATAATAATAGCGAAAGTTGATTATTTTTCTAAGATTTAAAAGAAATCATCTTATCGTGATTAATTCGCATATTATTGTCTAAAGTCGTGACATTATTTAAAAAGAAACAAACAACTATCTCTTTTTCGAAAGGAATGTATTCCGCGTTTTACAAATTTCAAATATTTAACCTTTGATCACAAATCGTGTAACGTTACTTTCGGGAAGCGAAACATCCACTAACGTACCTAATAAGGAAATTTAGAAGAAAAACCTATTCTTACGAGCAGTATTTAGCACTGTTAAAGGACACATGACACGATGAAAGAATATCTCGATATCGCTTCAGGAGAAAATTTAAAATTTAAATTTAAATCTACGTTCGCACGGTAGAAACGAAAATCGAGATATTCCTTGGCATCGTTTATCTTTTAGACGAAGCCTGCTATGGGAAATATTCGAAATATCTTGATCCAAAGTGCACGCCGTACAGCGAGCACTTTAACATCCCGGCAAGGTTGATATTTGCGTCGTAGTCGGTAGTAAACTACGTTTGACGTTTCGAAAGTAAAAAATCGGACTTACGTACTTATGCTAGGTTACTCGTAGTTCGATTGCATTCACGTAATTCTCGTCAATGGAGCGGTGTATGGAAAAACCGTTCATCGTTGTCACATAACGTCCGCTCGACAGACAAATCGATATTTAAAAGACAGAACGCGAATCCTTCACGTTACAGTTTACTCCATGTCAGTTCCGTTCCCACATTCCGTCTGTCATGCTGAGGAAGAGTTCCATTCGAGTACTTTCCGGGATCGACGATGTATTTCACAAAAAGAGAAACTACGGCCACCAATGTGGTTACACAATTCGAAACGATATTTATGTATGCCTCTTCGTCTGTTCGTTTTCAAATTATCGAGACATACAGTTTAAGCTTTTTGTTGTAAACTGGTAAACGAGGTTGTTTACAATTTTCGAGTGTAATATAAATACGCGTTAATGAAAATGTATCGAATACTTCGCACAGCTTTACTTTCAAACTGTTCATTCGACAATTTATTATTATATGAATAATGCAACTTCTACAATTGCATTTTGCTACAAGATGATGGTAAAAATGAAAATCAAAGAATTTATGTACTCATAATACATGTGAAATTTAAACCACTATGAAATTTTCGAATATTAGATTTTCGTCTTCGTGACGTTCTTCACGTAAGGATATTGACATTTTGGGAACATTTAGTTAAATAACTATGACCAACAGCTGATCTTCGCAATTTTTTAATTCGTTTAAATAGCGGAATCTCGAGTTCAAATTTCCCTGAATTTAATGGAGGAAAGGCAATTTCTCTGTATCCTCGTTGCTCTTGCTCTTCAAATTAATCCCAATACTTGCGTAAATACACGTGTATTTACGCGAAATAACAATGTGATACAGTACTTAGTTTTATCAGCAATCTATTGATATTGTAGCAATTTACTTAGATTTAGTGTATTTAAGTGAATAAATAATGTATCATGTGTCGTTATTTGTTATCGTTATATGTAAATAATAAGTAGAAAATAGACGATAAAGGGTAATATACAAGGTAATATACGAAAGATATAGTAAGTATATATCTCCAATAAAATAAATGTTATTTTATTTCGATGATTATTTAAATAAGACATTTATGAAATAATACACATTATGTTTGCTACGCTAGATAGCTGGCGTCTTCAAAAGTTTACTATAAACTGATAAGTACTATACAAGTGCAGAGAGGTGCGAATCCTGTTCCTAATTCTGGTTAGCGTGATTAAAAAAATGCAGCCGAATTTAGCTTACAAACCTAACCTCGCTATCTTCTGCTGAAAACAGCTGTGAGCAATAAGTCTCAGTCAAAGAATAAATATTAATAATATCATAATATTATACATACTATTACGTACTGTTGCATTGTTATTATTTTATTTTGTATTATTGTATTTTTACAATTGTTTTACTTCTGTTAGAACTATTTTTATTATATTTCAATAAACTTGACAATAATACATACAAATTTTGTGTATAATTTATTTTTCTTTCGCAGTTCAATTACACAAGACTCTTGTGATTTTCTGGCTGTCTTCATGTTTTCCTTAGTACATCTAGATATTTTCTTTTGTTTCTTGGTGATGGTCTTCGAAATGCACTATATTGTACACATCGGAGAAGAACTGTCTTACTCTGCTTACTAATACAAATCTTTCCTTGCATGTACGCATGAATGTAAGTAGTAACTTTATCCTAGATTCTACGTTTGATCTTAACTTAAAATTTTAATATAGTGCTAAATAAATATATTCTTGTATCGCTAGAATAGGTCATAACTCATGTTCATTTAACACAGCTATTGTCTAAGTTTTATTGCCTAGTTACAACTTCAAACTTTATCAAGAGTGCTTCCTAATGTATCTTTTTGTATCTCATTTTATATAACAAACCAGTTTGTGGTTCTTGTCTTAATGTATCTTATTGTATGCAATTTTTTTTTTTGCAGTATTTTTTTTGCCAGCCTTTGAAGTGCGTGCATACACATCTTTTGACCATTAAGATAGAATTAATTCTTATGTGAGACTAAATTTAAATTAATTATTTTTTCTATTTAGATATATTTTTTTATTATTTTTATTTCATTTTTAGACATAAATGCTCCCTTAAAATGAATATTCCTAAGTGAGACTTTTTTATGAGGTCCCTCTCCACTACATAAAAAAAAAAATTTCTTCAGTATGGTATGAAAAGTTATTTGTTATAGTTAATTATGAAGTTTCTAAATATTGTATTATGTGCGTTTTTTTTCATACAGTCTCTATCTACCGCGCAATAACAGGTTCGACTGTATAGTTATATACAGCTCTACCTATCTTAAGTGAACGTAAAATATTATCTTGGCTTTTATAATTATAATCTACTGTAATCACAAAAATAAATAACTAGCTAAAATAAGTAAATGCTAGCTATTTTGAACGAGTGCGCCGCTTTTAAACTCACGCGGTAATGTACCGTTGTTCTTTCTCGCACTTGTTAATGAAAATGTTTTATTTATTAATTATATTAAACAGAAATAATTGAAACGTACAGCGAAATAAAATTACAGATATGGGAGTAAGATAAAATTAAAAATCGAAAAATAATGTCGCTCCAACAATTCGCAGATTTGTTAAGTCTCATAACAATTGGCATGTGTTTTGTATTGAAAATTCCACAGATTTTAAATTTATACAATGCCAAGTCAGCAAAGGGAATTTCAATAGCTAGTCTTCTACTAGAATTAGTAAGGTGAGTTCAACTTATGTCGTATGTATACTTGTAAGAAGTTGTTATTTTTTTGTTTAGAAATGAATTTTAATAATAATTTATCCTTGTTGCAGCTATACCGTGATGACTAGTTACAATTACACAAATGGTTACTCGTTTCTATCTTATATGGAATATCCCGTTATTCTATTCCAAGAGTATATTATGTTTTTTCTAGTCTTGAAATATTTAAATAAAATCAATTTAGTCGCAGCGTTATCCGCAGTACTTTATTTTACAATAACTATTTGTTTCGCACTGCGAGTAATCCCAGCAGGCGTCCTCACGTTCTTAGCGGTTGGTTAATTAATAAATAATAACGATAACAATGGTCGAAGGGTAATTCGAAGATATAGTAAAATAACGTTTGAACTTTTTAAATGATTTTTAGTCGTTGTGCACGCCAATTTCCATGTCGAGTAAGGTGATTCAATTACTGGCGATCGTGCGAGCTAAAAACGCGGATGCAGTGTCGCCGATTACTTGGTTTATATCCGCCTTCACAAATTTAAGTAAGTCGCTTACATCGAACAAGCGTTCATTTCTTCTAATCTACGAAATTTAATAAATTTTTATTTTTATTCGCAGCGAGGGTGTTTACGATATGGTTGGACTCGGCGGATATTCTGCTTTTAGGAAATTTTACTATATCCGTACTTTTGAGCTCCAGCATCATGTTCGCCGCGATTTACTACAGATGGCATCGAATTAAACAGGATTAAGAATTTGGAAGGAACTTGATACCGTGAAACTATTAGGTCGTCCTATAAGTTCACCCTGCAGCTGTCTCAATATTTAATAAGAAACTATTATAAAATGAAAGAGATTATCTCTTGTTATAACACTCAATGGTATGTTTCCCATATTAATTTGAGTAGCAGAAGTATAAACGGCATGAACTTTTAGGACGACCTAATAATATAGCTACCCCTAGGAATGTTGAATTTTTTGATTTAACGAAAGAAAAATGCAGCCGTCTAATAAAATATACCGAATATTATTTAATACTTGCTGAAACGTGTATATAGTCGCAAGAGAGACGTTGTTCCAAGGCAATAAAATTTCATTTGGGGATGAAATCCAAAATGCGATCGACTCGTTGACGATTTCCTTTCTCGGCCGTCGGTCTCCTTTCTATCTTAACACTATGCTGTCCGCACTGATAGTGATTAGATTAGTAGATTTGCATGGCACCACAGTGGTGCCACCGGACGGCATAGTGTTAATTGAACGAATCCTATGTACCAAACGCTATAGACGAAACAATGCAGAGATTATTGTTACTTAATTCTATTGAAACAATATTGTTTCAAACAATTAATTGCTATCGATATCGCAGTCGTTTAAGTTAACGGTGTTGGACGAAACGTTCGTCGAAACGAGATGGTGCTTCCGATATCGTTTTACTCTCGTTATTTTGGCGTAGTTGGTCCTGTTGCATAGAAAGCGCGCGTGTAGCGTGCAGGGGGTACGGAATGGCATGGTTTCGAAGTATGTGCCACACATCCTTCTAGGCTCGTCCCCTCTACCACCGCTGGCTGGCGGTCCTCGATGACCTCCGGCCTGTCAGTCCGCACCGAGAAGCCGTTCAGGCACCATCAGCATCCGCGTCTCTCTCTTCGCGTTCTCCCGAGGAGAGAAAAAGAGTGCGAGAGGGACAAAGAAGGGCGATAGAGGGGAAGTAAGAGAATCTCTTCTGTCCTATCCATCGCGATCTCGGAAGAACACGAGGCCCTTGAGGACGAAGGGGGAGAGGTGCCGACAGTGGCGGGCCCGATCTGTCCACTGTCAGGATGGCAAGGTGGTTGCTGATAGTTTCGTTAACCGGTCTTCTGGTTCACGAAGCGAGGAACGAGATCCTCACGCCGCCGTATTTCAATCTCGCCGAGGGCAAGGAGATCATCGCGTCGGCCACGTGTGGCGTCGACACCCCCGGCCCGGAACTCTACTGCAAACTCGTCGGTGCCAACGCCGACCAGCACGAAGACATCAATTTGATACAGGGTCAGGTCGGTATGCCTACATTCACCTTACCGTCTCGATAAGTAAAAATACACCGAGCTCTCGAATCGACTTCTTCTCCTATTCTTTTTCTATTCGTGTCGTTGCGATTCATTAGAAATGAAGATCATCCACGCGAATATCCACGCGATTCGTCGCTCACTAATTAAACGAGAGAAACGGGGAACGCGTTTGGTACGAAGGAGATTAATACGAGGAACGATTATAGAAATGTTGGAGAGAAATAAAACCATAATTCTCGACTGCAAGCCGAAACGCGGAATTTATTTAGTCGCGTGGAACGATCTGCGAAGACTCTTTGTCTCGGTTTACCGAGAAGCCGTTCTCGTTTCGATGCGTGGGGGTAATTTTCTATGAAGAGGACTGCGATTATTCTCTCGGATTGCTCCGATAATCCGCATCTAGCCTTCGATCCCTTGAAGTTTATTAAACACCGATAAGACGAGACTCGTACGATCGTTTGAGTGACTGGATCCGATATTTCTTTAAGATTTCAGAGTAAAAAAGAAATTAAAGAGGGAGCGTTAGAAATTTAGATTTCAATGTTCGTTTGAAGAATAAAGGACAAGCAATTTTCTTTTATTCGTAATACTTGAATACCTATCCAATACTTGAATAGTCTCACCGCAGACTGCAGACTTTCTGTCGGCTAACTGTCCGCCGAGTCGGCAAGAAAACAATACAAGCCGCCATACTGATTCATAGTTCGCCGATGGATCAGCAGTGATGGGCGAAACCCTAGTTTGTCTCATTTCCTTTTTCGAACATTCTTTAAAGAAGCAAACGAGACAGACACATCGGCGGATTTCGGATTTATTCGATGCCTAGGGTTTTGCCCATCTCTGTAGATCAGTTTGAACGCAATCCTGTAGTCCATCGAACTTATTTATCGGCCGATAGAAAGTCCGCAGTCCGCGAGGGCTCTAAAATCAAAGTTTCTCGACGGATTCATTCTCAACGCGCGTTCGCGTCGTTTGCGATCGCTGTTTCTGTATCGATCGATGAAAGACTTTCTTTCACGAATGACTTCATTCACGTTGGCTCTTATAAACGATTAGCGCGATCTCTTACCGCAATTCCAAGAACGAGATAGTGGCGCGCGTGTATTAACAGCTAACACCCGTTACAGTGACACACGGGAAACGAAACGGCATTACGTTAAACGATAACCAGCGTTGAAATGTTCGTTTGCACAACGAGAATAGTTGTACGTGATAGGTACGAACAATGTTTCACGATTAATTCCGAATTTACTGTCCGTTTTTCCAGTACATTTTCAACGTAAATAACGAAAAAAGAGAAGAGACCGGAAGTAGTTGAGTAAGCGGTCGGTTGCGTTGAGATTGATAAACTCTTGGACCGAAAGGACCAAATATAGATAAAAAATTTGGTTCGTGAGCGTAAATACGAGCTACGTAAATCTGTTTAGACTTATATCGAGATAACTGTCGAATAAACGTAACGGCGCATTGTTACAAATTTCGAAAAAATTTTGCTCGCTCGGAACTTCAATCGACCGAAATATTTGTTTCGATTAAATTTCATTTCGTCGTTATCAACGACGTGATTCGTCTTTTCTTTTCTTTTCGATTTTTTTTAGCGATGAGAGACTCGAAAAGATCGCCCGGTATCTCATTAATCGCGATCTACTTTCCTTGCCTCTCGACATTAAGTTCGCGTTCGCCGCGACAACGATGACCTAAACGTTTCTTACGATGGACGCTTTGGAATTGTTGTTATCGAGCGATTCATAAAGTCCAGGATACTTTGGTCAATGGCCATTCCGTATGGTGTTATGCGTGTCTATTTATACGGCCGAAAGAAAATGTCGCGTAGACTAGAAGTGAGAAGCCCGATAAGAGGCGGCTGATAAGGTTGACCTCTCGATAACATTTGACCATTTCGTCTTTTCAAATTCCGAACGGTCTAACCAACGGCGAGCGTGTCCCATAAAGACTCCTCGAGAAAAAAAAAATCCTAGTCCACTCGTGTCGCATATTTTTTGTGTTTGATAGAGTTCTCGAGTCCTGAATATTTTAACTAGAAATTGATAACGAAACTACGACGAAAGAAAGCAGAGAGAATGAGCTGCTATATTTGAAAATGGAATAAGTCCACTTAAAAAAAAAAGAAAAAAAAAAGAAAGAAATGAGTCAACGATAATTTTAGTAAGATATAGATACCTTCTCTCGATATTTATAATCATATATTCAATGGAGTACGACATTCCATAAAGGAAATAAGAAAATTTTGAAACAAAACAAACAAAAACAAAAAATATTCTTTTCAAGTAGAATAAGTCCATTCCTAATAATTATGATTAGAACAACGTTCTTATTGGAATTATTATTATCACGAATACTTCGCAATGTTAACTGCAAATGAGAAATAAGTTTAAAATTTAATTTTTTGTTTATTTGTAATTATCTTTTTAATACAAGTAAAATAAATTCTTCCTAAACTTGGTTATTCGTGTATTTACACGTCTCCATTGTAATTATTATTTTTTGCATAAAAAAGTTCATTTCAGTGAGGCTGGTGTCTATAAAAATACGAATATGTTGTTTTTGAAAGTGAAGCCCGTTTGGAGCTAAACGAACATCGTTTATTCTTTAAATCATTTTAATAATCACTGTATTCCGATCAAATTAAGCGTTTGCCAATATTTTTCAATTAATTCGAATGCAAACCCCCTTAAATATCTCGATACATGATAAAAAAAAAATGAACTTAATCCTGTGTACTTGTAGTTAAGTATGAAATTCGCTTTGTACACGTGCGTACAGGTATGCGATTACTGCGACCCGGACAACCCGGAGAAGGTACACCCGCCGGAGTATGCGGTCGACGGGATGGAAACCTGGTGGCAATCGCCGCCGCTTTCCAGAGGTATGAAGTACAACGAGGTGAACTTGACGATCAACCTGGGACAAGTATGTATCGTGAAAATCGTGAATCGAAATCCGCTATTTAATTTACGAAACAGAAACGTTTCGAGCGATCGATCTCGTTGCCGCGGTCGTTAATTTTATTTGACGCTACGCCGTCCGCACATCGAACCGAGATTTTTTCGTTTTGCAACGGTAGGACCGACCGATAGTTTTTGCATGGCACCGCGACGGTGCCATCGGCATCGGCGTCGATAGTTTTCGCACGACACCGCGGTGGTGCCACCGGACGGCGTGGCGTTAATCGGATATTTTTAAATAACGAGTGCTCGGGAGAGAGTAAGAATGGGGAATCGACGACAGCAGGAAACAATGAGCCTGTGGAATAAGTATTTTATCTGTAACGAATTGCTTTATCGCGTAGTAGGCGTTTTCCTGCATCGCGGCAAAGAATTATCTTCGCATTGCTTCCGGAGGACAATAGAAAACACGGGTTTTAGGGAGCGGGGCGAATGGTGCAGCAAGTAGATGCTTCTGACGATACATTATGAACTCGTATGCGTTATTTACAGGGGAGCAGTTCGAAAGCAAGAACAATCTCGGAATAAGTTCTTCGAAAGAACAAAATTTCGAAAAATCGATCGTTTCGCAATTAGTTTTTACATGTTCCCGTTTCCGGGTTGTGCTACTCGTCGCGAAAAGTGTACTCCTTGAGCAACGACTAGAAGTAGCAATTAGGAAGCCGTAGGTGAGAGAATCGCGTTGCAGCCACGGGGTTATTGTCTTTTCGCTAAGCAGTTTCCGAGAAGGACGCGTTTACGGCGCGCCGAAGCGCTCTTTCCCGTGCGTTCCCGGCCACATGTCCGGGAATTTCGGAGGAAGGCACGATCGTAATGTTCCCGAAAGCCCCGAACCCGACGCATATGTTTCTCAATCCTCAGTTTTTGCCTTGCCGCCGCTCTCTCCCTCGTACTATGCCACCCGGAGTCCGGAAAACGAATCCCTCGTGTAACGCCTCCGCGTCGAATACTCGAAACGACTACTGGCTATTCTTACACGGTTCGTTTTCGAATCAACGGTGCTCCCGAGTACGGGAAAATGAAAGAAGGTGGGTCGACGAGGACCACTTTTCGCCCATCGTAAACGAAATCGTACACTCGTAAAACAAAGTTTCAGGCTGCGACAAGTTTTCGATGTGTTTGTATACTTGAAAGTATTTTTTTTTTTTTTTAATATAAATTTTACGCGATAAATAAAATAGTAAATCGTAGGGACGTGCTCTTGCTTTTTCCTACATTATCGTCGTTCTTTTGATCATTGAATTATTAGGGAGGCCGAAAGCTTTCATTCAGTGAAAACTCGAAGGACTTTTTTAAAACGGGAATTCGATCAACTGCCTTTACGCTGGTAAATAGATTGAAAAGTAGAAAAAGTGATGGAAATTATTGATTGGTATTTAAAAGATTCTTTGATAAATAAACGTTCCTCGCCAGCGAAAGAAAATTTTTAAATTAATACTTTCTTTTTATTAAGAAGCTTTACACGAACCATATCAATTTATTATACGATGGGCGAAAAATAGCCGTAACCGATCCATATTCTTCAGGTTCGAATCGTTGCTACGATCCGCGAAGTTACGGTTTCGAGGATAAGGAGAACGAGACAAGCGAATGAAATAAAAGTCCTGAATCTGTTCCGCAGGAATTTCACGTGGCGTACGTTTACGTGAAGATGGCGAACTCCCCTAGACCCGGGCTTTGGGTGCTCGAGAAATCGAAGGATTACGGGAAAACCTGGTCCCCCTGGCAATACTTTTCGGACACCGCCAGCGATTGTGTGACTTACTTCGGCGTGGACAGCCAGAAACCCATCACTAGGGACGACAGCGTGATCTGCACCACGGAGTATTCGCAGATCGTTCCTCTGGAAGGCGGCGAGATACCGATTTCGATTTTGAACAACCGCCCTTCCGCCAAACACTACTTCAATTCGACTCTCTTGCAAGAATGGACGAGGGCGACGAACGTCAGGTTTCGCTTCTTGAGGACGAAGAACCTGCTGGGGCACCTGATGTCGTTGGTCAGAGAAGATCCAACCGTGACCAGAAGAGTAAGCGTGTCTCTGTTGTTGAATATCTCGGCAAACGAAACACTCGGGTTTTATATCCTCCACGGAGGCAATATATTTAACAGACAGAAAATAATTTAGATAGACGTGGAGACTCGATCACTCGAGTGACTCCAAAGTGACTCCGACACTCTGTAACAGATCGAGGATTCTCGTCTAATAAATAAACGATTAAATTTGTTTATTCGACCGTGTTTCAGTACTTTTACTCGATCAAAGACATCAGTATCGGCGGTCGTTGTATGTGCAACGGGCACGCGGACACGTGCGACGTACTGGACCCGAAGTTGCCGACGAAACTGTTCTGCAGATGCCAGCACAACACTTGCGGGCCCCAGTGCGCGACTTGTTGCAAAGGTTTCGAACAGAAGAAGTGGCGGCAGTCCACGGCGGTAAAGAAGTTTACGTGCGAACGTAAGAAACAGTATACCTATATCATCCGTACATATAGTTTCCTCTTAAAACTTTCAACGTTTATACTTGGTCAGCTTGCAACTGTTTCGGCCACTCGGACGAGTGCAAATACGATCCAGAGATCGACGAGAAGCACTTGTCTCTGGATATTTACGGGAACTACGAGGGCGGCGGCGTCTGTCAGAATTGCCGGGACAACACGGAAGGAGTGAACTGCAATCGGTGCAAGTCGCGTTTCTACAGACCGCGCGGCATGCCTCTCAACGCGACCGATGTCTGTCAACGTAAGATCTCACCCGATAACTACGATAATCCGCTTTAGCTTCGAACCGTACGGATCGAAACATCGATTTATCGTTACTCGACAGCCTGCAACTGCGACAATTTTTACTCGACCGGGAATTGCGCTGACGTGACGGGCAAATGCGAGTGCCGAAAGGAATACAGCCCGCCCGACTGCGACAGTTGCAACGACGGATACTTTGGATATCCGAAGTGCGTGCCTTGCCAGTGTCACCTGAAAGGAACGGACGGAGACTACTGCGAGGCGATCGACGGTTCCTGCCCCTGCAAACCAAATTACGCTGGCCATTATTGCAACCTCTGCGCGGAAGGCTATTACAATTTTCCGGACTGTTTGCGTAAGTAATATTTTCACCAGTAAATGTTTCTCGTTATACGATTACTCTTCCGATGGACTACTATGTATACGTGATTTCCAGCTTGCAGATGCAATCCACAGGGTTCCTTGAACGACATCTGCGACGTGGTCTCCGGTAACTGCACGTGTGAGAACAATTACGGTGGCAGGACGTGCGACATTTGCGAGGACGGTTACTTCAATTATCCCGTCTGTAAATGTACGTATTCGACGAATCAACACGTTGCCAGATTAATACTATTATTTCTACTGTGATCAAACTTTCTTCTCGGGCTATTGGAAGCTACGTAATCAAACATTTATCGCGATATTTATTCTTGTAACTCCGTCCGAGTTTTTCATTCGAATTCATCTGCATCGACAGTTACATTCAGAATGAATCTTTTTAGTTGTTCTATGAAAAGCTTCAGCGAAGAGTGTCGAGATATCCGTCGGAGTATCCCGATGAATAGTTATTTTAATGAAAATAACAGCGATTCGTTGTCACCTCAGATTGCAACTGCGACACGCGCGGAACTCAGCCGGAGATTTGCGATAAATCGGTCGGTGCCTGTCTTTGTAAAGAAGGATACGGGGGCCTCAGGTGCGATCAGTGCATCAGTGGATATTACGGATATCCGAATTGCAGGCCTTGCAATTGTAGCTCGGTAGGATCGTCCACCGTTAGCTGCGACGCCACAGGAAAATGCTCCTGCCTCACGAATTTCGCCGGGAAGACTTGCGACCAATGCAGTCCTGGATATTACATGTACCCGGAATGCACAGGTACTTTAAATATAATTACGCCTCAAGTAACCGTAGGAGTCTAAACCGTAGCGAGCCTAATTATCGTTTAATTATCGTAGCCTGCGACTGCGACAGCCACGGGTCCATCGGCGCTTCTTGCGACGCGGAGGGTAAATGCCAGTGTCGAGAGAATTTCGACGGCGTCAGATGCGGTCAATGCAAGGAGGGCTTTTACAATTTCCCCACCTGCGAGGGATGCAACTGCGACCCAGCAGGTGTACTCGAGACCTTTCAGGGATGCGGCTCTCTGCCCGCTGGCGAGCTCTGTCAGTGCAAGGATCGGGTCGAAGGAAGGATATGTAACGAATGCAAGCCGCTCTATTGGAATTTGCAACCTTACAATCCTCAGGGCTGCGAAGGTGAGAGAGCTCAATGGAAAATACATTGTATTCTTTCTCTATTTTCTTCTTTTTTTTTCTTCTTTGTTAAGATTGCCACTGCAACATACCTGGCGTTATTGGAAATATCGGCGAGTGCGATACAAAGAACGGTCAGTGCATCTGCAAGCCCGGAGTGATGGGCAGGAGTTGCGACCAGTGCGTAGATGGAACGTACAATCTGCAGGAGAGCAATTTCTTCGGGTGCACAGGTACGTACAATTCGCATCCCATAAATATTCACACCCTCTATGTCCGACTAGTGTGACTAAATTAAATAAATCTTACGATTGGTCGCCCTTCGATCAGATTGCGCCTGCGACATCGGTGGATCCGTCAGCTCGATATGCGACAAACAGACAGGCCAGTGCCAATGCCAGCCACGAGTCACCGGGCTTACCTGCAGAGAGCCACTGAAGGCTCACTACTTCCCCACGCTTCATCAATTCCAATACGAAGCGGAAGACGGTAGAACGCCCAGCAGCAGCCCTGTTCGTTACGGTTTCACCGAGGAGCTCTTTCCGGGGTACAGTTGGAAGGGATACGCGGTGTTCTCCGCCCTTCAAGACGAGATCATCTTGCCCGTTTATATCCAGAAGTCGTCCCTTTACCGAATGGTTCTGAGATACGTGAACCCGAACAACGAACCGATACTTGGCACCATCACCATCACTCCCGACAATCCATCGGGCGTGGAGCAGTACTTCAAAGTGAACTTCAAGCCAACGGTCAAACCATCGTTCGTGACCGTCGCTGGGGCCCACGGTAACCATCCCTCGCCTATGGTGATGGATCCAGGCCGTTGGTTCTTCAGGATCGCTACAAAGAAGAGCCTCTTCCTCGATTATTTCGTGCTGCTTCCATCCGAGTACTACGAGGCGTCTATTTTAACACAGGACGTGAACATACCGTGCGAGGTTGGGTACAAAGGACTCTGTCGCCACTACGGCTATCCGGACTTGACCAGATTCGACTCCGTTCTCGGGGCTGGTGGATTTTTGAACGAGAACGACGTCAGAATCCCTCTGACGGAATATTTCACGGAAAGAGACATTCTTCGAGAGATCGACAGGGAAGAGGTACCATTGATCAACGATAAACAAGAGGAGATACATTTCGATTTAAGAGTCTCGAAGCCGGGCCCGCACGTGCTGTTGGTGACGTACGTTACGCCGAAGGACGAGACCGTGACGTCTACGCTTCTTATAGAGGCGAACACCGTCGGCAAAGGAAAAGCTACTCTGTACCCATGCAAATATACGAGCATCTGCAGACAGGTCGTAACCGACACCTACGGCAGAGTGGCTGCCATGAACTTCCCTTCGAATTACGTCAGTTTAATCTTGACGGGCGAGCCCGTGTCCAACGTCGCCATCGACTCCGTCGTGGCAATCCCCTCGCATCAGTGGTCTCTGGATTACGTGAAGCCTAAATCCATCTGCGTTAAAAAAGACGGCGTTTGCGTGAAAGGCCAGTTCCCCGGAGCCGCCGATGCCAAAAAGATCGAGTTCGAGAGCGTCGGTACCGTCCCGGAATCCACGAACAGACCTATCGGTATATACGACAACGCCACCAAGCTGATCTACCTGGACGACAAGAACACGATGGTCGACATCCACGCTAAAGTCTTCCAACCGGGAGACTACACGTTCGTCGTTCAATATTATCAACCAGATTACCCGGAGTACGAGCTGGACGTTCTGGTGCAGAACGGAAAGTTCTACGAGGCGAAGATATCCGTTCCCCACTGCCCCAGCAACAGCGGTTGCCGCAGCGTCGTGAGGCAAATCGACGGGAACATCGGGTTCCAGCTGATCGAGAACTTCGTGATAACCTTCAAGGAGAGCACCGAGAACGGGATCTGGCTGGATTACATGCTGGTAGTCCCTAGCGAACAGTACAACGAGAAAATCCTCAAGAAGATTCAAGTAGACCAGACGAAGGAGTTCATTAAGAAGTGCGGGTACAATCACTTCCACATCAACATCACCAAGGAGGGATTCTGTCGCGATTCGATTTTCTCGCTAACGGCGAACTACAACAACCGCGCTCTGCCGTGCAACTGCGACATAGACGGCACCAGAAGTTTCGAGTGCGAGAAGTTCGGCGGACAGTGCCCGTGCAAGCCCAACATCATAGGCAGACGATGCGAAATCTGCAAGACCGGGTTCTACGGGTTCCCCAATTGCAGGCCGTGCAGTTGCCCCAGCACCGCCCTTTGCGAGCCGGAAACAGGAGCGTGTATCTGCCCGTCGAGGGTCACGGGCGAACGATGCGATCAGTGCGAAGTAGGAACGTACGGGTTCCACCCGATAATCGGCTGCGAGGAGTGCAACTGCTCCCCCGTCGGCGTCGTCGACGGCGACATGCAGTGCGATCTTCTGACCGGCAGTTGCAGGTGCAAGGAAAACGTGGTCGGTAGGCAATGCGAAAAGTGTCGGTCCGGGTACTCGCAGTTCCCGCATTGCGAGGCGTGCGACTGCGACGTAAGGGGCACGACCGCCGACATTTGCGACCAGTACACCGCCGAGTGTTACTGCAAACCGAACGTCCAAGGTTCTGCTTGCGACGTTTGTAAAGAGGGCACCTTCAATATCCAAGAGAGGAACGAGGACGGCTGCACCAAGTGCTTCTGCTTCGGCAAGACCACCAGATGCGTGTCCGCGAACCTCTACAGGACCCACGTGTTCGACATGACCGGCTGGGGCCTCGCCGTGTCGGCCGAGAAGGGCGCGAACTTGATGTCCTTGACGACGTACCCGCAAGAGCTGAACGAGACCACCGTCGCGACCAGTCTAACCGGCAACGACACTTCCGGGGAGGTTGTTTACTTCTCAGCGCCGGACGCTTACCTGGGAAAGAAATTAACGTCCTACGGGGGTCACCTAAATTACACCGTTCACTACAGCACGGGACTTTTCGGTAACGCGGTCAGCGCGGCTGACGTGATCCTTCAAGGTTACGACACGACGTTGTTCTACTACGCCGACGAGCAGCCCCCGTCGTTCACGATATTTCAGGCGTCCCTGGAATTGATCGAGTCGAACTTCATCACTCACAATCGACTCAGCGCTACCAGGGAACAACTCATGGTGGTTCTCGAGAATCTTCGGGGCATACATATCCGAGCGACTTACTGGAACCCCAGTATCCAGGCATCCTTGTCCTACGTGCTTCTGGACGTGACCACCGAGTTTTATTCGGCCCAGTACAACGTTCCTGCTGGCAGCGTCGAACAATGCCAGTGCCCACCAAATTACCAAGGACTCTCTTGCGAAGAATGCGCGCCGGGCTACTATAGGGTGCAGTCCGGTCCTCACGGAGGATGCGTTCGTTGCGAGTGCAACGGCCACGCTGATACTTGCGACGTCAACACCGGAATATGCTTGGTAAATCTAAATACGTGTACAGAAAGTATCGTAGAAACGTTGTATGTATTTTGGTTGTTTATATTTTATAGCGGCATGGGCATTTTCTGCCGTACCCTGTATAACTTTTCACTCTTGTAACACAAAAGATTCGTCGGGACCAGACAACGCAATCACCTTTAGTCAAGCTTACATTTAATTACGTAAAGTGATCAACACAAAGCGTTCAATATATTTTTACACGCGAACGTTAATTTCATTTCGATTCCCGCGATAACTAACTATCCCGGTAACCCGGAATCGTCGATAAATTTCTAAGAAAAATCTTTCGATCGCAGAATTGCAAAGACGGGACCACGGGCGATCACTGCGAGCTCTGCCAGGAAGGCTATTACGGTAACGCCACCGGCGGAACCCCAACGGATTGTCTGATCTGCGCCTGCCCGCTACCCGTTCCCTCGAACAACTTCGCCACCGGTTGCGACGTGAACGAAGAAGGTAACAAGATAAGCTGCGACTGCCTTCCGGGCTACTACGGGGCCCGCTGCGAGGTCTGCGCTTCCGGTTACTACGGGAACCCGGAGGCGTACGACGATTATTGCAAACCCTGCGAGTGTTCCGGGAACATCGACACGAATCAAGTCGGCTCCTGCGACTCGATAACGGGCGAGTGTTTGTCGTGTTTGAACAACACGTACGGAACGGCCTGCAACATCTGCGCGCCCGGGTTCTTCGGGGACGCCGTCGAGAGAAAGGATTGCCGGAGCTGCGTGTGCGAGGAGTGCGGGATGGAGCACTGCGACAGCTACACCGGCAAGTGCTTCTGTCGCGAGAACGTCGTCGGGGACAGATGCGACCGTTGCGAAGACGACCACTACGGTTACGATAGTTGCGACGGGTGCAAGGCTTGCGATTGCGAGGTGGCATCCGAGAGCAGCCAGTGCGACGAGAACACGGGCCAGTGCAAATGCAGGCCTGGCGTCACTGGACGCAGATGCGACCAGTGCGTTCCGGGATACTGGAATTACGGACCCGGAGGATGCACCTCGTGCGGGTGCAATACCGGGTACTCGGTCGGGGTGTCCTGCAACACCACTACCGGCCAGTGTACGTGTTTACCAGGTGTTGTAGGGGAGAAATGCGACCATTGTCCGTACAGGCACGTCCTGATTCCGGGGCAAGGATGCTTCGCCTGCGACTCGTGTCACGGAGACTTGTTGGACGTCACCGACGACCTGTCCAATCTGTTGGACCCTGTATTCAGGGAGTACAGTTCAGTTGCCGAGAGCTACTTCACCACTCAACGGCTCAAGTTCATCAACGACACGGCGAACGATCTGTATCCACAGGTAATACTCCTCGATCCCAGCCGTGTGAACTTTCTGCCCCTCCAACAAGAAGTGAAGAGGCTGGAGTCGGAGGTTTCGAACCAGAAACGCGAGATCGATTTCACCGCGGAGGACAGCGTGAACTGGAAGTTCGCGGCCGAGAACACGTTGAAGAACATGAATTACCTGGAGTCGGACGTGATCGAGGAGATCGACTTCGCGAGGTCTACCGTCTCCGAGGTGGAGTCCTTGGCGCTGAACATCGACGTGGATAACGGCGGTAAGGTGGACAGCGCGTTGAAAGAGGCTACGGAGATCCTGAAGAGGATCCAGGACGTGTCGTTCGTAAAGTTCCGCGATCGCGCGACGGACCAGGCCGACACGGCCAACATCCTCGTGTCGAGCATGTTCGAGTACAACGCGCCGGTGGACAATTTGCTGGCGATCGCCGGAGATTTGGGCAAGAAGATCCGAAACGTGACCGGCAAGATGGACGATCTCGAGGAGATCGTCTGGAACGCACAGGAATTGGCGAGCAAGGTCGACAGGTTGAACCAAGAGAACAGAATCGCCGCGGACACGGGAAATTTCGACGTGGTGAAGAATGCCACCGGCGAAGCGGAGGAGGACACGTTGGCAGGCGAGGAGCTGAACAAAAACGCCACCGAGTGCATCGAGATAGCGAGCCGGAACGTCGCGGCCCTCACCAGAGACGCGATGGACGAATCCATGGATACGTTGAACGCGACGATCATCGAGAACGATTTAATGCTGGTGGAGCTGGTCGAACCGGTTCAAAACGCGCGCGACCACGCGGAGTATCTCTACAATCGTTCCTTAGATTTGGACGACCTGCTGACGGACACGAGAAACACGGACGCCGTGAAAGCGGTTTCCGCTTACAGAAACATCGGAACGGCCATCGAGGAAGCCCACGAAGCAGCAGCCGACGCCATCGACGCCGCCAACAACGCGACCGGTTTGTCCGACGGGATCAAGCAGAGGATGCTCGACTCGCGAAACGCGTCTCTGCGTTTACTGGGATCCGCCAGGGACACCTCGGAGAAGACCAGAGGGAAACCCGAGGAGGACCTGCGGAACGCTCGAATGGACGCCACCTCGATTTTCGATCAAAACAAGCGCAACAAGGACCTCTTGGACAACGTCGACAAGATCCTTTCCGGTATCCCGCCGCCCACTTCGACGATCGCTCAGGCCGCCATGGACCAGGTCGTAAACGTCGGAGAGAGTATCGAGCGGTCCGTAGACGATATGAACAGGGTCGTTAACGAGATACCGGCGGACCTTAAGAAGACGAAACAGCTGTCGAAGAACATTTCGGAATTCATGCGCGACGTGTCCCAGGCACAGAGACAGCTCGACATCGTCGACGGGCACGTTCCCCGTATCGCCGCGATGTTGAACGGTTTGAACGACAACCAGAGAGCGATCGACGCGCAAGGGAACGACCTTCACGGCAAGATCGAAACGTTGAAGAGTAAAATCGCGAACGCGAGAGAATTGGCGGATCGTTTCGAGACCGGTCTGACGTTCTATAGAAACACCACGCTCGAGTTGAAGAATCCTGAAAGTCTTCCTCTGTTGGCTACCTCTACCAAAGTCTCTCTGTATTTCAGAACGAATAAAACCAACGGTTTCCTGTTGTACCTCGGGAACGAGGAGAACGCGAAATTGCCGTGGTCGAAGACTCGCGACTTCATGGCTCTCTTGATAGAGAGCGGATATCCGGTGCTGATCATCGACCTGGGCTCCGGGCCCGAGAAGATCATCAACCCGAAGTTCGTGTCCGACAACGTATGGCGACAGATAATCGTCGATAGAACGGGGAAGAACGTGAAGCTGATTATCCGCGAAGACATCGGCGAGGGCAAGGATCGTCTCTACGAAAAGGGACACGTGTTGCCGGGCTCGTACTCGATATTCGACGTCGACCAAGAGCATTCGAAGCTGTTCGTAGGCGGCTACCCTTCTTCGTTCAACATGCAAAACGCCGTGACCGCGTCCTCGTTCGAGGGCGAAATGGAAGAGCTAGCGATCGGCGAGATACCGGTTTCGTTCTGGAACTTCGTAGATGGGGAGAACAATCAGAAGGAGGCGCTCGAAAGGGACAAACTGGTGAACTTCCAACCGAGCACCGGATACAGATTCGACAGGCACGGGTACGCTATCCTCAGCAAGAGGAACTTGAAGATATCCCCGGACAGCAAGAAGTTCAGTATCAAGCTCAACTTCAAGACGTTCGCGGAGAACGGGCTGATATACTTGATGGGAAAAGGCAAGCAGTTCCTCTCTCTGGAAACGAGGAACGGTCATGTACTCTATCAGTACGATCTCGGCGACGGAGAAACGAGCCTGAGATCTTCGGGCAAGTATAACGACGGGAACTGGCATAATCTGGAGGCTCTTAGGTTCGAGAAAATGGGCGTTTTGAAGGTCGACGGTGTCGACCTGGTAAACAGCAAGGCTGCGGCTGGAAACAGCAAGAACTTGGTGTCCTCCGATCACATCTACTTTGGTGGGTACCCGCCGAATGCCAAGCATCCTTACGGTCCTGTGACCAACGAAGGCTTCGAAGGTTGCATCGATCAAGTGGTTATCCTAGACACGGTGGTCGATTTGACTCGCAACATTCAAGCGTTCGGAGTCATTCCTGGCTGCCCAGCGAGGGTAAGATTTTCAATTAACGCACTGTTGACCGGTCGCGAGTACTTCCGTTATCTATTTCAATTTATGAAACTCAGAACGATATAGAATACTAGCTGTCCCTGTGATGAAATCTCCGTGAAATTTCTGTGTAAAATTACCGGTCAACAATGTATCGATTCCGTCTCACATTCCGTTTTCAAATATCGCCGATAGTTGCAAGAATTGAACGAAACTGTATTTATCCCTTAGTTCGCCAGTCTGGTCTCCTTCGAAGAGGGTACACCCGGTTACGTGAAATGGCCGAACGTTTCCGTATCGGACACCCTCCAAGTGAACCTCAAGTTCAAGACTCTAGCGAGCGACGGTCTAATTTTCTACATAACCGATCACGACACAGGCGCGGTTAGTTTTCTGTCGCTGATCGACGGTATACTGGTCTTCGACAGCCAGGGCAAAGAATTGAAGACGAGCCTGTCCGGCATCAAGTTCAACGACAACGAGTGGCACGTGGTTACGGCCACCCACACGATAGACTCTTTGAAACTCGACATCGACGATACCAAAAATTACAATACCGACTTCGAACCGCAACCGTTCTTCGTACCTAACGGCAGCATGTACATCGGTGGACTGCCAGCTACATTCGGCATCCTCCAAACCGGCATGATGACTCCGTTCGTTGGTTGCATCGGTGACGCGACGCTCAACGGCGCCATCATCAACTTCGCCAACACCACTGATAGACCTCACGCTTTCCTGGGAAAATGCAAGAGTGGAGATCTATCCTGTACGTGGACTTGAATTTTTTATTAGGTCGTCCCGCAAGTTCATGCTGCAGACTGTCCCGATATTTAATTAGAAAATATATATGAGTATATATAGTAGTATATATATATATATATATATTATAAAATGAGATTACCTTTTTCTTTATAACACTTAAGGGTATGTTTCGCATATTAATTCGACTAGCAGAAGTATAAGTGGCATGAACTTTTAGCACGACCTAATATTATAAAAACGATAGGATAACAAACTTAGACAACGTGCGACTAGCGCTTTTCAACCCCGAATAATTCTAGTAAACGTTTGTTTACTAGAAATAGTAGACTAGTAGTAGAATAGTAGAATAGTAGAATAGTAGAATTCTAGTAGACGATTATTGCGTCATTGCGTGGATTTCTCCGTAAAATAGAATCCGAACAAGATGAACTGGTAGCTCAAGGTCTTTGCATGAAATACGCGAGCGATAGTCTTGGGCAGCTAGTTGACTTTGTTCTCATCATTACTTACGCATTATTACTCGTGAACGACATCGACGATTTTTATTGTACGCAGCTATACCATCGGTAACCGAACCGGAACCGGATGTATTACCGCCGTTGCTACCAACGGAGAGTCTAGACGACAATGTCGAGATATCCACCCATATAAGTAAGTACACTGATTAATAACATAATTAGTAGCAATGTTATTGCCCGTATCTGGCTAGAACAATCTAATGTTAATCTATAATCTCGCCATTTCGCTAGATGTCGTAGACGTTGATTTGGAAAAAGGAACAGATGATGAAGAACCTCGTAACACAGGGGGTCGCGGTGATTATAACGAAGAATTTACTACGACCACCGAGCCTACGTCTACCCAAAGACCAACGCCAGTCCACGTGGATCAGTGCCGATTGCCTTACTACCCGGCGGATGATCCTGACTTGGATAACGCTTGGAGATTCGGTACGATGCGTCGACGATTATCGTCCAATCCATATCGTTGCGACAAACTAAGGAAGGAATTCTGAAAATTCATTATGTTTCCAGGCACCGCGAGAAACAGCAGATTGGAGTACAGATCTTTGAACGGCAGATACAAGAACGACTACGACTTCCAAATTGACGTTAAAACTATGGCTGAAGATGGAATTATATTCTACACTTCGGATCTCGATAATCAGAGTTTAATCGCCGTGTACGTCAGCGGTGGAAAGGTACGCCGAGAACAGTTTCTTTTTTATTCGCATCCGATGTAAACGGATAACAATATATTTTTTGTTTACTCCTTCAAGCTTCATTATAAATTCGACTGTGGAAGCGGGCCCGCTTTACTGGTCAGCGAAAAAAGGATAAACGACAATCAATGGCATACGGTCATATTCAAGAGAGAGGGAAATTACGGAGAGCTGCTCGTCGACGAAGACTCACGGGTAACAGGATATTCCGAAGGACCCTCGGGAACTATGAACGTGAGCCCGCCGTTCTACGTGGGTGGCGTCCTGCAGGATGCATTCAACAAAGTGTATAATACGATTGTAAGCATTTTTTTACAGTGTAGAATTTAGTACAGATATTACTTTCTTCAAACTACTGACGTCGCTCTAGCATCGCTTGGAAGCTTTGAATAGCGTCGACTATTCCCGATTTCGTATAAAGAGTCTTACGCTGATTTTCAACGAAAAAAATGATGATTCTCGTTTGATTCAGGGTACAAATGAAACGTTCAACGGATGTCTAGGAAACTTTATGGTAAACGGACAGCCAGTTGGTGAACCGATAAACAAAGTAGGCGTGATTCCATGTTCGAAACGGGTGGAACCAGGACTATTTTTCTTCCCAGGCAATGGTAGCAATTTGTTCAGAGCGCGTACGTACTTTATAATGTATATTCGATTTGATATTAAATATTACGCGTAGAGTCTTATGAAAATTTCATTTTTATGCGACATTAGTGGATAGGTTCACAGTCGGCAGAACAGTCGATATCCAAATGGACATCAAGCCACGTTCCGCGTCCGGCCACTTGTTGTCTGTTCATGGAAAAAGGGATTACCTGGTATTGGAGATGATAAACGGAACTGTCAAGTTCCTTGTGAAAACTGCAAAGGGCTCGATAGAAACTTCCGTCGAACCAACAAATACGAATTCCCTGTGCGATGGCAATTGGCACAATATTCGAGGTGAAATACCCCGTTCCCTTACTAAGCTTTCACATTTCTATCCTCAGGAGATCAACATCTATGTGTCGATGGAAGCTTTTCGATTTAAATTAAAATAAATGTTCTCACTTGTTTTATACAGCTGTCAAGCAGAAGAATTCCGTAATTTTGTCAGTGGACCACAAAGCATCCCCGCCAGGTATCGGTGGTAAAAATGTGGCCGGAGTTCTGTCGAAACATCCGATCTTCATCGGTGGTCATCCGATGCTTGGAAAGAGGTTGCGAGGAAGCACCTCGCAAGCACAGTACGTTGGATGTATCACAAATATTCACATCAACATGATACCGATAAGTCTGGGCCCGGAACGTGCGTACGGAAAAGTTATTGCTGGCGTGTGTCCAACGATATAAAAATAAAAGTACACTTATAACGAATTAACGTAGCGTTGCAATTTTTTTTTTTTTTTTTTGGTAAATAATTCTTTAAATCTTTTAAATCTTCTAGACGCCTGAATCGTATACACGAATTATTATGTAACAGAGAAAACTGTTGTTACGATACTTAAAGAATCATTAAGTAATTTTAATTTTGTAAAGTTGAACGATTCCTGTTTTTTTTTTTTTTCTTAATCCTTCTTTTTATATTAATGTATATTTTAGTATTTTTAAGAGTTCAGAGCAATCGAAAGAAAATTGAAATCGTCAGACATCGAACGCTGTATCTCAGGGTTTAGTTATCAATGTAGTAAGCTTTCATGAAAAATATCAAACGTTTACAGCGTTTTGTGAAATACGAAGTTTCGATATATATATACATATATATACATACAAAAACGAAATTTTAAAAGACTGAACGTCGTTATGTATGCATCTTTCATCGTTTATGACGGAGGATAAAACCACGTATGCCTGGTGTATCACATCCATTAACAATTATTTAAGTACAAGAGTAAGCTATTTTACTTCAATTAAAGTTACATAAATTATCAGGTTTTAATGTAAATTTAAAGCTAATTGTTCGGAAGGTATTGTAACGCGCAACCAAAGAAAATTACATTACGTTGAAAGGCATGTTATGAAATATCGCGGAAAAATAATTGCACGATCTTCTCTTAGTAAAAATAAAAACATATATGGAGAAATTGAAACAGAAGTTAATGAAACAATATAAATAAAAATGTGATGCTTACGGAATCACTCTTTTTTATACTTTGAGTTACATCTCATTATAAGTAGAGAAAAGTTTAGTCGTAAAATACGTACAACTTCGAGAACACGTTATAGTGTATCGGGGATGCAATACTCCATATAATTTGTCGTTTAACTTTATTGCATACTTGTTGGTGATACACTCATTACGGAGTTCGAAAATTATGTAACATTATCATATGCAAGTAAAATGAAATAAACTAAAGTATGCATTAAATGACTGACAATACACAAAAATCAGATTAATCATAGTTACTATAATAACTATCAACCTGTGTATAAAATTCCCTTCAATCTTTGAATATGCATAGCTTTCTCGATGCAAACTGCATCGAGTTCTAAGGATGTATAATGTTAAAATATATATTTATATCAACAATATTCTATGCAACTTATTACTATAAGCAATGTTAATTTCCTTCCATACAAACACATTTTACGATAGGAAAAAAATGATTAAAAATGTTATTAACAAAAATAATAACAAGAAAACTTCGATTTGGAATTAAATGAAAAATTATATTCCGAGTAAAAGAATATTTTTAGTATAAAAACAGGATGACATGTAAAATAAAAAAAAAATTAAACATGAAAGTATAAACCAGTTATAACACATAAGCAGGATGTCATATTTACTACAAAAAACTTGTACTTCTCGATGTATCGATGTAGTAAAATAAAAAGCTGAATTACAAAACATCTTGCACCTCATGAAACTACCGTAGTTTGTATTTGTGCAAAGACAAAAAAAAAACTAGAATATCACTATCGTAAGATGAAATGTTTCTCATACACTAATCATTGGTTACTTCCCTTAAATTACACGTCACAAAACCAGTTAAAAAAAAAAAAATTATATTTAAAATACTAAATAAATTCAGGACCACTAGTTTAACCACTAACGAAAGTTAGAAAGTTATTAGTTTAACCGTGAATGAACCAGAAATTTACATCGAACGTACACGTAGTATTTTAATAAATCTTGTAAATTGTGAGTTGGTTTATTCAAATGATCGTTGTATAGCATGCTTATTTCATTGTACGCATTTTGAAATGTTTTATTAAAATCATATAAATAACGTTTAGAAAAGAAGAAGGAATTCCTCTTTCTGACATTCGATACTTATTTTTTAGAACACATTCAGATCTTAATATGTAATAGTAATTACCGTATCAATAATTTCTATCCATTGTTTCTTACATGTCTAAAGTATTACAATAAAAGCTTACAGACTTCTATATATGTATAAAATTTCCTGAAATAGTTGATAAATAGTTGTTTCGTCAAATATCGTCGAACAAAGAATCAAATTTATAGAAATGTACATATAGATTCGTTTATGACAACTAAAAACACTTCCCTATTTATCACGCAATTTCAGGAACTTTCTCAATGAAATAGTATATCACAGTGTAACGATCCAGACATTCAATTAGATTTTTGTATGTGGCAATTGCGTCTGTACAATTGTTTATCACAAAAGGCATATGTTGTTTGTCCATTTCAATACTTTTGAAAAGATATCTGGCATTATAAATGCACGATATATTATACAAATATCTCGGTATCTGTACATAGTAAGTACAAAGATATTTCATACTCCGCGAAGATTAATCATGATGAATGTAACAAACAACAAAATAGATGGACATCGAAATATCTTGGCATAGTATCGATATAAATTACTCGATACCGTGTGCGAAAATCATAACTAACCCAGGTTCGACCATCATATCTTCTGGCATGTGTGTATTATCGCAATAAAGAACTAATACTGCTTGTTTGCCAGGAACTCGTTTACAAACATAATTGTCATATTGCCGTCTAGAGTTCTGTCTGGTTTCAAGAGAATTTAAGCCTGGAGGCCATTTTCTTTCATGACAATTCTCCATTAATTCATCTATTACATGGGGTGGGCAATTATACTCGGACAAAGTCCTCTTTATCAGCGTCTGTAATATCGTGTTTCGTTATTTACTAGAACTGGTTAATATCTATCGATAAGTAATTCGGAGCGCAATGTACCTGTAACAATTCATCCGGCGTGGAAATCATTCCTCCCCATCTCGTTACTCTCGCTCGAGGAAGGGTAGCAGACCATCTTACAACTTCGTCCCTCTCCATCTGATCGGCAATGGCCCGCATCGCGGGATTCGAAACTCTCAATGCCCTCATAAAATCTTTCAGAAGATGTATTTCCCTCTTGTGTTCGTTTATTTGAAGTTGTTGTTCGCCTAATTCGCGTTTCATATCGGCGAGCTTTTGTTGCTGCGATTGAATGATATTTCTGAGTTCCCTCACGCAGTTGTGATCTTTCAACTCGTTCTTAGGGATAATAAGACTACATCCTTGCTCGCAAAGCATTGGTCTTTTAGGATTGTATTCGCACTGCTCCAAATGCGATACCAGACTATCAAGTTTAACTACAACTTGACATCCATACATTATATTATCACAACTAATACAAAGGCGAGCCAGTAGATTTCGAAGAATCCTTGGAACTGCTCTGAGTTGAGCGGATGTAATGGACGTGCGATCCAAGGGACACGTCGGTTGTCTGTTTATCCATTCGTTAATGCATGTACGACAAAAAGCGTGCTCACATACAGGTGCCTGCAACATATTGCTCACCTACCAGTCTTTAAACCAAACCAAACATTTTACAAAACTTTTATTATCATACTTAATGATACACAACAAACATGCATGAATACCCTGTACAAGTCAGACGTATGAAGAAAAAAATGATTTGTTACCATTACACGATAAAGAGAACAAGAGGAACGATATTTACGTAGATTTTGACAGAACGAACATTAGAAAAATTCTAGCGATTGCCTGACGTTACGAAATCGATACAAAATTCTAACGAATGTTTCCTACGAAATAATTCAGGAGATTCGGTGGAACGAATAGAAAGGACTGCTGGTGTAATTTCGAAATTATTTACCGTTCATCAATAAAAATGGAACATTATTGCGAAGAAAGGTGAAAAAGTGAGGTTAATTTCGTGTAAATGCACGAAACTGGTTCAATTGAAAACGATCAGAACGTTAACGAACGAAACAGAAAATAATACCTGGACTGGATCTTCCAGAACGCCAGAGCATATCGGACAAACTAGTTCCTCATCAACTTCGCCCTGAAATCGGTTCACATCGAACCCCATAATGCGTGCTCGCGACAAATCACTCGTCCTCGTACGCGGCGACGAGTCTTTCCTACGAGACACTGTGGATCCAGAATCAGAAATTCGATGGCGTTCGACGTGAAAGCTCGTGAATTATACCGTTACTTTCCACGAGTAGCATGCGACACGACGATAGTCGATTCGCGTAAATATATCAAAACTTTGCGGTTTTGTTCGATCGAAATTCAACGAGTTTATCATGCACGATTACTCGTTATTTGAAATAATCGCAGCGCCCACCGGATTAAGCCTTTTATGCGGTCTCATGGCCTAAATTTTTGTTGCCTCTTATGCTGTGCATCGACCACGAGTGTCGGCAGGTGTGTAACGTTATCTTATTGTGTCGAAGCTGGATAATGTTCAGTTACCGACGCAACGTTAATTATTTACATGTAACGCGATAACTTATCGGTTATATTTGATTTTATTATTATTAATGATTGCAACTGACAGAATTGTAGAGCCGAGGATCCACGGGCTCGAAAAGGATAGCGCCGAGAAGTGCCATCTGATAAAATAGATTTCTTCTTACTTGGAGCTTTTTAGCTTTCATTGTAGCATCGGTTTGCATAACCCTTACTGTGCTGTACATGGCGGATGATTTTTAGTTAATACACAAGTACAATATCATTATCGATACTTAACATTTTCAACCCTCGATGCGTAGCAATTGTATACGAAGTTTATGGATTCTTTATTATTCTACATATTTACCGGGCTATGTTGTACGCTTATCTTCAAATGAGACGTTTTAATAAGATTCATCAATCTGAAAAATTGGTGAAACCGGAAAGAAAAGATTAAAATACGTTTTATAAGCAAAATATTGTTAAAATTTCATAGAATTGCGAAGTATTCTATTTTTTCTTTTTGTATATTGAATTGCTTCCATTGTCCGTAACAATAATGATTTACTAGTCTTGATGATACTTGATCGATACTTTAGTGTTTCAATTGTACAGAAGACAGATTATCAAGAAATCGTTGTACTCTTTCTGATAGCACGTTGTATCATCTTCATTGACACCGATTACAAATACAAATCACTTTATCTTTCGTGACGATCGCGATCGTGCACATTTTGTTGGACATCGTCCTCGGCTTCGCCATTGTTTAGACTTCGCATAAGTAGGCGAGGGTCGCGAACGGTCTCGGTCCGTAAAATTCAATTGATCGTTCGCGAAACAATAAATCGGGATGTATGGACGACCGTACACGCGAAACTAAGCGCAAAATGTGCCACAAGGGATACGTTAGTTCGAGTTTACCAAATTATTTATAATAGAACGATGTGAATCAAGTTCGACTAGATCGAAATCCGATAAATCTCTCCGGAATTAATTGTGAGCTAGCAAGTTTCGATTGATAAGACGCGATAATCTTAAAATGATATCAAAATTGGAAAAGGGGATCAGTACTCGTTTGAACGTTACACGGACAGGTTGTCTTTAATAATTTCCACGAGATCGCGAACAGAATGAAAACTTCTACCAACGAGATACAAGGTACGCGATTATCTATTTCGATATAAAATATTTTTCCGCACGAATCGAACCGTTGGCTACAATAGTTACGTTTTATAAACCGAAGACCTATGGAATGTCAGTTATATACAGTTTTTTTGGAAATTGCTCGTACGAATACATTCTACACCCACTGTACATACACAGGGTGTCCCAAAAATGTTGCAACTCATTGAAAGGGGTGGTTCGGGAGATGATTTGAAACAACTTTTTCCTTAGCGAAAATGTTGTCCAAGGCTTCGTTAAGGAGATATTAAGCGAAAACTTCGACCAATCAGAGTGCTAGTATGCCGGTTGAGCGTAAGCTACGCGCTAGGCGGCCGCACTCATACGCTACTGCGGGTGCTCCAACGGTATATGCGCGTTCTGATTGGTCAGTGTTTCTCGTTAATATCTTCTCAACGAAGCCTCGGACAACATTTTCGCTAAGGAAAAAGTTGTTTCAAATCACCTCCTGAACCACCTCTTTCAAGGTGTTACAACATTTTTGGGACATCCTGTATAGTAATTGTGTCTCCCATACCCAAGAATAAGGAGCCAAACGACAACGCGAATCGTAGGGTACGGGATTGGTCGTGCAGGTAAAGCGGTCGACTGTGGATCCGAGGATCGTGGGTTCGAATCTCCGTGTCCAATTTTTCGTTTGGACTCTTACAATTACGATTATTTAATCGCAAATGCTAGTTATGATTTCAAGTGTCGGTATTTTAAACAACAGTACAAAAATACGCGAAAAATGCCCGTCTCTCATCCAGTCTATTAGAGCGTCAACATTTGTCTTGATTATCGAACCGCGTTTATCGAGAGCTTTAACGAGATATTCGGCAGGGTGACAAAAGTCAAATTGTCGAATAAACCCCATTCAGCTCGACGGCTGATTGGAACGTGACCCAATTTGAAAGCAAAAATGTAACTTAAACTGAACAAATTAACATAACTGACACGATCCTCGTTAATTAGAAAGATATTCCTTTCTTTTTATTACATGTACAAACAAACGAAGGTCGTTCGCGTGTTGAGTTATCGTCGTTGTCTCGAAGAATATGATCGTCGAGATGAAAACACGTACCGTTCAGCAGAAGTTAATCGCGGTGACGCAAAACCAACTTTGCGAAGATTTACATCGTTTCTATCGTTGATATGCACGATCAAATTATTCGAATCAACGTGAAAATATTAAAAATTAAATACCGATAGAATCGCGAGAATAATAGAATAAACGTTGTAATTAAGTTACACGGAAATGGATCGAACCTTTGCTCTAACGCTGATACGTGAATATTTTTAGATCACCCGGACAATGAAACTGACACGGAGGAGAATCAGAAGGCAAGTATCGAACGATTGTTAATCGATAGCGAGAAATGATGCAGGAAGAAAAATATTATCGTGTGTAACGTTTCGTTAGCAACAAATGGTATGATTTCCATGGTGTACGATTGTAAATGACTTCCCGATAACACTATAGAAAACTCTACTCTGTTCGTGCCGTAAAATGTCCGATACACCTTCAATGAAATATCAATCAATGATAAGAATAGTGGATTTAGAGATATTGGTAAATAAACTTGTTCGGTGTCGCGCTCACGCCTCCGCAAAACGAACCAGTTTTACGAAACAATGTCATGGCTCCTCGACCAGAAATCGACATCGGATTTCACTTTGTTTTCGCATGAAAATATTCGCTACGATATGTAGGGCAGCTTTTACTTTTACGAATCGAAATAAAAATTGCTTCAACTTCGATCTACGCTCAGGTCTCTTATCTCCTTATACCCCGATGAATATTCTATATCGTTTCTTGTCGAATCGTCGAAAGAGAAATAGTTCCGTGTTATCCCTTATCGCCGGTTATCGTCGCATAATAATCCTTACGATTACTTGTTATTTATTATCGCAGATTAATCGTGCAATTATTACTTTTAATGAAAAGGAGACAAATCTAATATCCATTTATCCAGAGAAGTCTTTAATATATCTAATTACGAGGATGCGTACATCACACGTTCCCGAGAGGTAGAGAGCTTCAATGTTTATGATATCGTATCAGCGGAACTTCCGATACGAACAATGCTGGTATACGATGAATATTTTATAGCAATTGTTCGTTCTTCCTACGCCGTGAAATTCATTTTATAGAAAAGCTAAAGTATTAGCTATTTATCCAAGTTTCTTTTGAGGTTAAAAGGAGTAGTTTTAGAGTCCGATCCTATAAGAATGGTGCTAGATTGAATCGTAGGATAGAGATATCGTATATCTTTCTCTTTCTTAGAAGCAGATCTTTTCTACGTATACAATCGTCTAAGACTTATATAATACGTTATATCGAGTGAAAAAAATATCGTTTCACTTGTATAAATACGCGAAACGTGTCCGTAAGGAACACAATGTCCTTTCAGAGCGTATAAGTATCTACTTAGTTCTTTACTTTAACACGTTCACGCCGGCGCTGCTACTTGTGTTTCTCGGCATGGGGCGGCGATGGTGTTACACGCCATCTGATAGACACGCGACCGTGAGCCACCGGTGGTACACGCCGGCGTGAACGTGTTAAACAAAAACAAGAATATATTTAACATAGATAGATAATACATACACTAGTCTTAGCACGTTGCTACGCTGTTCGTGACTGTCTACTGCATTTCGGCTCTCGCCACTTAAGGGGTTTGGAACATCAAAAAATGAAAAAAAAAAACGCTTTAAAAAATTTTTTTTTCATTAATATTTCAGCGATTCTGAACAATTCTACGCAAAGAAAATTGAAGTTGGAGCACTAGAAGTGGTAACAAAAATTTTCTTTACGTATTGTTGTTCAGAATCGCTGAAATATTAATAATAATAAATTTTAAAAAAGTAATTTTTTAGGTTATCCCGAAAGTTTCTTTCGCGAGCTGCACTCAATTATTTTATGTGGTCATGTTTATGTAAATAGACAATCTAATTTCATAGATATTCATGTTGTAACAGTAATGGAGCAAAATGTAATGTACTTGTAAATGTAACATAAAATGTAATTACCTGAATTAAAATGTAACATAAAACATAAAATATTGTGCATGCATTACTTATCAATAAAGCGAAAAAAAACTTTTGGGAGAACCTAATACTTGCAGTTGTACCGTGTCCCCGGGAGCCTAGTGTACTTTCACGTCGTTCCAAATCGAAACGACGTACAATGTACGCGTATATAAGTGTGTACTCACGTAGTCAGTGTTCGTCAGTAGCATCGTCGCGGTCTCGATCACAAGTGCTTGCATATCCGCGGGAACGTGACAACGCAACAAAGTCAACAGTGCAGTTTCCCGTACCAAACGAGACGGACATCGTTAGTTCTACTCGGATATCTCGATCGACCGGTGGACACGCCGCGGTCTCGTTATTTCCGTATATTTCTTGTACGGAAAAATGATCTCGACGATAGTATCGTTCGTGGGTACTCTAGTAATACGTGACGCGCGTTGACAGCGTGGTTCTCGTGTGTCAACCTTTGTTCGGTGTCTAATTTGAATTTCATTGTGATCCGTGCGATAGAAACGAGCGCGCAATGGATGCGAAGAGTGTTGACACGGAAAAGGTAGGGATCCCAGCACGATTATCCTTACTTTATCCCGTACGCAATACGTTCGCGATTACGGAATATTTTTAAAAGAGATCTAATCTACGATAGAGTCGATCGCGGATCGATTGGAATTCGATTGTACGTTGAATTAGAAAGTAGCTGGTTTTTTTTCAGCGATTTGTCAACCTTGTTCGAAACACGCTTCGCTCGCGTGACGTGAAAGGAATTTTTACCTGACGACAACTGATAACGGCTTCTGCATGGCTTCCATATAAGATTTACCGACTCGCGTACACGCCTTGGTGTTTATGTGTGTACATTATAAAGTCCATTTTTAGTAGTGATTGATTGCTGTGTGTATGCGTACAAGGTACCTTACGTAAAATAAATGTCGTAGAAAGCGTTACAGACAGCGGGTCAACCTCCTGTAGCTTTCAGAGCAAGTGTCTCGACTTGAACATTGTGTTACTAAATATTTAAAGTTATGGACATGTTTATCAATCTTTCAATTAACGTTGAAGAATTTACGGTCGAGCCTCTGATAAGAGTGTTTAATGCTTTTCGCACGGCAAGGTATAATCACATGCAATTTTCGTGAGATTGAGCGATAGCTGTTTTACAACCTAATCCTAAACTAAAGTAAAACAGATAGGTGCTGCGGTAGCGTGAGACGAGAAACAAAACACGTTATCACAATATTGGTTGGTCGTGGTCCAATATTAGTTTTAGTTCGCTTCAAAGCAATTCTTAAAGTTAAAATTCGACGATAGATCTTATCAATCAGGGCCGGCGTGACCTTTTGCGGGGTCGGGTTCAAAAATTTTGCATGGGCCTGAATTCACATTAAAATCCTACACTTAACTTTTTCAACGACGAATTATTTATTTATGAATGCTGTTACACATTACACAGGGTGTCCCAAAAATGTTGGAGGTCTATGAAGAAGGTGGTTCGGGAGGTGATTCGAAACAACTTTTTCCTTAGCGAAAATGTTGTCCGAGGCTTCGTTGAGGAGATATTAACGGAAAACACTGACCAATCAGAGCGCGCGTATACCGTTGGAGCGGCCGCGGTAGCGAATGTGCGCGAACGCCTAGCGCGTAGCCACTGCTGGCGCTGAACAGGCATACTCGTGTTCTGATTGGTCAGTGTTTTCCGTTAATATCTCCTCAACGAAGCCTCGGACAACATTTTCGCTAAGGAAAAAATTGTTTCGAATCACCTCCCGAACCACCTTTTTCATAGACCTCCAACATTTTTGGAACACCCTGTATATTGTTTATAAGATGAATATTAGATAATATTATTTTGATGATTTTTGTCACTCCTTGAAACTGAATCATCGCTAATAAAAGAAATGTCTTGCATCTGTTAATGATATTATCATTCCATAAAAAGTTAATCAAAATTTTCGTAGATCAGGGCCGGGTTCCGGCCTACGCGCTGAACCTGCCTTGCGCCGGCCCTGCTATCGATGTACATAATTTTCCCACTTTTTAAATACTTTTTATATACTAATACTATTTCGAAGAAACAAAACTTCGCCAACTCGATAATGAATGCCGATAAACTCGGCTAGAGCCGTTGATGTAAATAATTGTGCGACAACGCAGCCTTCGCATTTTCCAATGAAAAAAAAACAAGTTTTAATCGTCGGCAACGACAACGAAGTTAATAAGGTCAACGCGATCGTGCTACCGACGCACATTTACCGCGGCGGCTTCGTAACTGGAATCGCGCGTAACTCAACTAACCCAATCATTTTCCTTTTCTCTTGAAATTTTCCAGAAGCTGAAGTACCCCAAGTCGGTATTCTTCATCATCGGCAATGAGTTCTGCGAACGGTTCTCGTTTTATGGAATGAGAAGTACGTAGAAAATAAACGCTCGCTATTTCGTATATTATTAGCAACGAGATGACGTTACGCGGAGTTTTCTTAAAAACAATTTATGTTTCAGCCGTGCTGACGCTCTATCTACGGAATTACCTGAATTACAACGACAATACATCTACCGCGATATATCATGTTTTCACGATGTTCGCCTACTTTTTCCCCGTGTTCGGGGCGATACTGGCGGACTCGTTACTTGGAAAATTTCGCACGATCTTCTACTTGAGCATCGTTTACGCCATTGGACAAATTCTCCTCTCCTTAACTGCGGCTCCGCCTATAGGATTACCAAAGAGGTAGGTTGAATCGAGCCCATGAGAACCAGAGTAGCCTATCTACAAAATTAATGGTGCTGAGTTGTAAAGACATATTGGACCTATTTGCCAAAAAAACGTTACAGTTCTATGCTGAGTTCTATTAAATATTAATTATTAATAAAACGAAAGAAACTTTTGGGACAACCTAATATTCTTCATTCGCGATCTCTGCTAATTTTCGAACCAATTCAGAAGGAAACAGCGTTAGCGAAATTGTCTCGCTTACTTTAGGATACTTTCTATAATATACGAGGGACGTTTCAAAAGTCACAACCGCATTTGTGAAGTAACAAAAATAAAGAATAGATAAAAAAAAAACTCGTAAGGAAATTCTATGTTTTTCTACGTAATTGCCACTTATATTGAAACGTTTATCACTAAACATTTATCAAGTATTTCTTATAATAGATAGCCGTGTCCAAAATTTCCGGTCACGTTGTTACCGCTTCGGCTTTCCAAAATTTCTTTGACTATTTTAAAAAGATGAAAATCGGATAGGGGCGAAGTCTGGGGAGTACGATGGGTGGTGGAATACCTTCTGTCGTCATCGTGTATCGTCTCTCGGCCGGCTATGAACTGCGTATACAAATTTTAAAAATTCCATCGAACACAATGAGCGGTCGTTCGTTATCGCTGGTCTACTCGAGGCGGGGTTACAGGGGCGTGGCTACGACTTTTGAAACGCCCGTCGTTTCACGACGCAGTTGGCAAATTAAACTCGCAGAGGAATTTGTCCGGCAAAGCGACCGTCGATCAATGTTGAACCGCATCTGTTAAACGTCTAACTTTCCAGGGAATTTTCATTGGTTGGTCTACTCCTTATAGCCCTTGGCACCGGCGGTATAAAGCCTTGCGTGACGGCGTTCGGCGGTGACCAGTTCGTTCTGCCTCAACAGGAACGATACTTGTCCACGTATTTCTCGCTCTTCTACTTTTCCATCAACTTCGGTTCCTTGATCTCGAGCTTCCTTACCCCGATACTTCGCAGCGACGTCGAATGCTTCGGTGAAAAAACCTGTTACTCCTTAGCGTTTTTCGTCCCGGCTATTCTCATGACCGTGTCCATCGGTGAGTTTCGAACGAATTCTTTAAATTCTCACGATTCGTTAAAGAACATTTATTGCAAATACTAACTGTACCTTCTCTTTTGTCTAGTGATATTCATCGTTGGGAGGCCGTTGTACAAAATAGTGAAACCTACAGGGAACGTTGTCCTGGTTGTCTCCAAATGCATTTCCGTAAGTCTCGTCCGTACACGAGTGGAAAGTGTGTCTAAGAATTGTAACGATACCTTAAGCCAGGCATGTCCAATCGGTATGCGACGGAGCAAGGACACGTGCAATTGTTCGCGAGTTTTCTCGAGATCGAACACCGTTACGAGACACGACAGGTGGGAACTAACTGCACTAGTATTGTCGGTTGCTGGATAGTCGGCGAGGGAGCTCGATTGGCTGTCGCGTAACGGCGACGTCCCTACCCGCACGCACTTTCGGTATTGGTTAAGACGACCGAAGGTGTGACAAAGGCCGTGAACAAGATGAAGCGAGAGAGCAGTAGTAACCATTGGCGTAACGTTAACCCTCGGAGCCGGGCCACTATTCGAGCATCGGAATATGACTATGCAGTGTGACCGGTCGATAAAAAGGGACCGAGCGTAATCCTCTGTCCCCTCTAGTTTAATGGACCCTCGCCAGCAATCCAGCAACCGACGGTAGCGATTGTAACATCGAAAGTAGTGTCGGGCATGCATCGAGTTGGACATGCCTGCCTTAAGCGCAAGTCTCAACTACCTTAAGGTAGACTCTAAGGTAGACTCTAAGTTCCGCGCAGTTATACCGAACAAACGTTCCTTCCTCGAAATTTAATGCGAACGACACGATCAACGAATTAATTCTATCACTGTATCCGATGTTGCAGCACGCCATTTACCAGAAGGTGACGTCGAAAAATAAACGGGAACACTGGCTCGATCACGCGGACGACGAGTACGATAGATCGCTGATAAACGACATCAAAGCAGCCCTGCAGGTCATGAAACTGTTCATTCCAATACCGATATTCTGGGCGCTGTTCGATCAGCAGGCGTCCCGGTGGACGATCCAGGCGTCGAAAATGAACGGTGAGATCGGAAGTTTCTTGCTTCAACCGGATCAAATGCAGGTGATCAATCCACTTCTGGTGCTCGCCTTCATCCCGATATTCGAGGCCTGTTTTTATCCGCTTCTCGCGAAGATCGGTCTCCGGACGCCGCTCAAGAAATTGACTATAGGCGGCGTACTAGCCGCTCTGGCCTTTGTCATGTCGGCGCTCGTTGAACTTCAATTAGAGGTACGTAAACGAATCGCAGTTCGCGCTGTCGCGTAATACGCAGAATTCGATCTATTTTAAACAGGTCGGGTTTCGTCCAGACTTTTACCATACCAACAAGAACGAAAGAGTTGCATCTAAAAATACGTAAAACCGAGCAACTGATCCTCGAGACCGCGTTAAAAAAGACCACTTGATTTGCAGACAACGTATCCGGTTTTACCTTCGGAGGGCGTCGCTCAGTTACGAGTCTTCAATACCTTAAACTGTCCGGTAAATATGACAATAGGCGATCAATCCTTTGTACTTAAGGAAATGGACATGTGGGCAAATGTGAACATCGAAACAACCGGACGATTGTTCGACTATACAGCACAATCGGAATCGTGCAAAATTAACTCTAATGGTGTGTTTAGAACTTTTTGCTCCTTTGAAATTGCTTATTGTTTCCCTCTGCTCTTGAATTCCTTTATCATCTACTATCTAAAACCGATTGGGATTCCATTCAATTCCATTTCAGGTATGATTTTCGTAACGAGAGGCGTCGCAACTTCTTGGGTGATGGGACCTGATGGCCTCTCGTACAATTACGTTGACTTAATAGATAAATCGAAAACAGGTGATCCGTTGGTACGTGGTCTCCTTTTCGTAAACGAATCGTCCTCGCCTGTCGAATTGTCGCTACGTAAAGGCGATAAACCGTCCGTCTCTTTTTCACTAAATGCTGGCATACACAAAACCGCTTTGAAAGAAATCAAAACCAGCGTTTATGATATCTGGATTGGCGATCAGAAAGCGAAGAGCGATGTGCAGTTAAAATTAGGCGGAGTTTACACGGTCGTTGGCTCTGTCTCTTCAAACGAGAAGAACGTTAATATCGTAACCGTAACGGAACCAAACTCTATGCACATACTATGGCAAATACCGCAATACATCCTGATTACATTTGGCGAAGTTATGTTCTCTGTGACAGGTTTAGAATTTGCATTCACCCAAGCACCTACCAGTATGAAGTCTTTGTTGCAAGCTAGCTGGCTGCTAACGGTAGCTTTCGGTAATCTCATCGTGGTGATTATCGCGGAAGGTTCATGGTTCAGCAGGCAGGCAAGTACATCTCGTTGAGAATGATTTCTCGAGTACTTAATAGCGTTCGCGGAATTTGTCTGCTAATTTTATTTTGCTAACCTATTGTAATGTACAATTGTGCTATCTCTTTGCGATGTTTAGGTTTACGAATTCTTCCTATTCGCCGGGCTGATGTTCGTCGATATGATAATATTTGCCTTTATGGCAAAATTCTATAAATACGTTGAGGTACCCGACGACGGAAGCATCACGGAAGAAATTAATATGGACGTCAAGAATGGAATAGTTAACGAGTCTTACAAAGACAACGAGAAGTGAACTGTTAACTATCGAAATACTAAAGTTTACAGGATTTCCAAGTGATTTTGTACATGTTCCACACGACCGCGATATTTTAAGGTAATCAGAGCGCAAAGAATTATTATGCACGAACAATTTTTATTTTCTTTGTTGATTTTACCCCTGTTTCAAGGGTAGCAAATGTTTCTACGAAGAAACAGAAGACAAAAGGAGAAAAAGTCAAGTCATTGATTTTTTAACTGAAAGTAGAAGTTTAAAAATTTGTTCGTGTCTGAGATGACGTAGCAATCAATGTTTTACGTTAAAATAATAGTTCTATGCCATATGAATCTGACTCGAGTACATTATTCTGCTTTAAAAAACAAACGGAAATTAAAAAACAAAGTATGCGGACGACAGATGTATGTAATCGGACGCATACACTCGCAACAATTTTTAATTACTACAAATTGGAATAAATGGATAGGCTCTGTGGTAGCAGGAGAATATTTAATATAACTGAAAGACTCAATTAATACTTTGTCATATTTATGTTATACTAAATCGACAAGTCACGTCAAGTTTGTAAATAAAATTATATGTATAAGTATATTCTTTTCTTTCATAGCAGTTCAACTACGATTCGATAAGCATTACCATCTGTTTCATTTTGTTATATATATTTCACTTAACATTAAATAGACTAATTGTAGATGAAACTTACGAAGGTCTCCTTACGTCTTGAATTTCATTCCCGCGCTCAATTCTCTGAATTCTGTAACATTCTCAAACGCTTTGCACGATTAGGGTTTATTTACGCACTACTTGACGGAAGTACCGGTTGCGGTCACATATCTGAAATTGTTTGCTAAGCTTTGAAAATCTGCTCAAAACTTCGTTATAGGCCAAGGCCCTCTAGCCGCTAATAATTCTAATACATAGTAAAAATATCGTTACCAATCTATCTGTATAAATCCATTAAACAATATTAAAATCTACTAAAAGCGGTTAATATAATTGTGTTCATTTTTTCCCGGGAAAATTAAACTAGTAAGCGTGTGATTCGTTACTTTAAACGATGCCATGTAAGAGAAATGCATAGACGAACGAAAGTTCTGTATAAAATAAATAATTTATTTAGTAAAATAATAATACATTATTTATTCATCATACATTCCACCAGTTTTTGATTAATGGAAGAACATAAATAATAATGATAACGTTATACATTTACGGAATATATCGCGAACATGAATTGCAACTTTTTCATTGTGCCTATGCTATAGCTTACAACACATACAATCATGCTACAAATCACTATACAATAGTCTATTTGTACACAGATTGTCCTTTCATAGTGTCCTTCCTATAAAATATAATGAATTCTTCCAATAAACGATGTAGTGCTGTAAAGGCATTGAAAGGCTAATGATTAAGTCATGCTATTAACGTGTTTTAGTTCTAGAACTATGCTTGACTTTTAGACTAATGAATCTTCAGAAATTAATGTTTTGTCTCGTTATAGTATTTTTATAGATATCTGAAAGTGTAAATAGTAACTCTTATTTTGTGTAAGTAGTTGACGCTAATCACATACAAGTGCTTTAAGTTTGCCAAAATAAATAGTCATTTCTATATCTCACCTTGGATACAATAATAGGCTCTTTCGTCGTAAAACCGTTCTACACGTAACAGTTACAAGTATCATAGAAAAATAAAATACATATTATCGCTTCAAGCCAATCAATTATATGTATTGTGTGTATAGTACTCGATATCGAAGGTCCTTTGCAACAAATGTATATACAAAACTTTTGTTTGCACAATATAAACTCCAATAATAGGAATAGAAGTAACAGCACATGCAAAATGGTAGCTATTCCGTCATCATTTTTTCACCTCTGTTGAAATGAGTTAACAGTAATTTAACAATGTTAAACGAAAATATTACTTAAAAAACATCAAGATATAAATCTTATTATAAGATTCACAATCATTAAATAATTTCAGCTATCTAGATATCAAGCATTTTTTGATTCCATATAAATGTTAAACTTAAGCAATGCAATTACACATATACATATATGTATATATTCTTATCGTATTAATTCGTAGAATTATGTTACAAGACATAAACTATACAGAATCTAATCTGAAATATACTATCGACGACGTAATAAATTTGTAACAGTTAGATCGGCAAATATAAATTATGAACCAATCATTTAACACTACCAAATCTTCAAAGTCAAAAGTAAATTGTTGGAAGTTTGGAATAAAAATTATTTTCGGATTTTATAGTTGGAGTTAGCTGTATACAGCGATATAGAATATCATGGTACGATACGACTTCTAATCTGAACTTCATGTTGCAAGTTAGTAATGGTGTGTAGAAAAATAATGTCAATTATATGGTTAACCATACTTGCTATGAAAGTACAAACTATAGCACATCCTGGAGTTAAAAAATATCTGTTTCCAAACAAACGCGATGGTTTGTTACGACGTTAAATGTTCGTCACTTTATATGGTAAATCCCTTGCACAAAACGCAAAAGTGGCCCTTTGACAGACCCTTAGTTAACTTTATATATTTTGACTTCCTGCGCCGTATAGGTATTAAAGTTGTATACACGTAATATGTAGATAAATGTTTTCGATATGGTACATTAACAGTGAGCTAAGCACCAGAAAAGGTTTTTAAATTATTCGTATTCGTAACTTACTGAAACTATATGTGGTCCTCTTCTTTATTGGTTTGTGCTGGTGTTGCTGGTGTTGGATCATCGTGAAACAATGGATTCTTTACTTCCATTTCACCAGTCTTGAATAAAGAATAATTACGTAACGAAATCGAAAGTTATCGTCGTTAACAAAGCTTTGTAAAGAGGGGAAAAAAACTCACGGAAGCCAGTCCTGGGCACTCGTAAACGGTGTAGTCTCCTTCTTCGTTTTCTTCTTCGCTCTCTGCCTCGGAAACAGAGCCTGGATCTCTAGACGCGGAAACACGACTGTGGACATAATTATTTAAATGTTAGTTTCTTAAACTACGTCACACTAACTTGATTACTTCAAATGTACCGTTCAAACAACTTACTTCTCCATAGCAATAATTTGCTGCTTCTGATGTTGGAAATGATACATTTGAGCAGACTGGGCAAGTCTTTGGTCTCCAGAGGGTGATACCTCTTTATTTGGCCCTGTTACACCATAAGCTGGATATTCTATGTCAGCAGCCGCTTTAGCGCCGCGTTTCAGCCTGGAAAAATTGTACATATTTTAGAAACATTATTTACGCGAAAAAAAAACAATATTTTATCAAATATTTAATTTCTATCAAAAGTGATTTTTCTCCAACGAATATAATTATTTTTCAAACGTTACCTGCACCATGTTAAAGTAATCAATACAAGGGCAAACATTGCCGCAGCACTGCAGCCAGCAACAATAGCTGAAACCAAACAACAGAAATTCGCTTCAATGACGACACCGTTCGCGAAACAACTCTAACGAACACGTGTTCTTACCAATGAAGTAAATGTCATTGTTCAAATTATGATTCACGGGTATAACTAACGGGTTGTATCCCGTGCGCCGTTCCAGCTCCGGTATCATGATCACCGACGCATCTTTGATTTTCGATTCGGCATTCCTTACATTGTCTTCGTCCATCGTATGCACTTTTTCTATTATTACACCTCCTTGTCCCCAGTTGGTTTCGTTCTTCGCGGTTTTTTCCAAATCCGAGTTATCGTCGTTACCTATCGGCAAAGAAAAGTTCGTAAGGTTTCGAGATTACAACGCAAAGTAAAGAAACAATATAACGATACATATCGAAACTAACTTGAGGAAAAGGGAGCATCCTGGTAAAATCTTGGATCGTTCGGTTTCACCGCGAACGGATGTTTGTCGTTCAAATTCGAGTCGTCGATCTCAAAAGTGAACTCCGGGACGGTGGGGAGCGGGTTCTGCATCTTCTTGTTGATACCGTCGAGCGATCCGCCGTAATTCACGCGGAGCTGGAACAACGGTTCCTTCTTCGTCCCTTTGTCGACGTTCGCCCGTCCCTCGTAAGACGGATGCTTGAAAGGCACGTTCCGACCATATTCGTAACCGAAGTCCTGGTAATTGGCATCCTCGCTATTCGTTTCGCGAGGCAGAGAAGGCAACTTGAAACCGGGATACTCCACGGGATCGTCGAATCGATTCAGCCCGTACAACGGAAGATAACGCTCCCTTTCTCGCGGCGGCGTCTCGTCGATCGGCTCGTCGTATCGCGTTTGCCGATACCTCCAACCTTTCAGCTTTTCCCTCCAGAGAATATCGGCCAAGTTCGCCTTGTCGGTCAATGCCTCCAGTAGGTCTCTCTTTTTTTGCCGGTCCAGCTGCAGCTGATGCTTCTTGTGAGCTTGGTTCGCCAGGAATGGCGAAAGACGAAACCGATCGCCTTGCTCGAGGTACTTCATCAATTGTCTCAGCGCGACATTCTCCGAATTTTCGGGGACCTCATCTGAAAAATTTCCGAATTTTTAACGGACTTCGAAAAGGAGGAGGTTACTCAATTAAAGTATAAAGCAACCAAAGTATGGAGAGCGTGCAGGAATCGAACTATGTGGCTACTTTGAAGCTGTTTACCTACTCCTCGAGTACAATTTTTTTAAATTAAAAAAAAAATACTTTGACCGTAAGGGGGGGGGGGAGTCTGGTCCAGGTAATGTATTTGTCTAATGCATATAATTTTCAGATATAATTCATTTTTGTTATTGAAACATATACAGGGTGTCCCAAAAATGTTGGAGTTCCTTGAAAGGGGTGGTTTGGGAGGTGATTTGAAACAACTTTTTCCTTAGCGAAAATGTTGTCGGAGGCTTCGTTATGGAGATATTAAGAGAAAGGCCTCGACCAATCAGAGCGCGAGTATGCCGGGTGGGCGGCCGCGGCAGCGTTGGCTACGCGCTCTGATTGGTCGGAGCCTTTCTCTTAGTATCTCCTTAACGAAGCCTCGGACAACATTTTCGCTAAGGAAAAAGTTGTTTCAAATCACCTCCCGAACCACCCCTTTCAATATCTTACAACATTTTTGGGACACCCTGTATATGTATACATTCAAATTAAATCCACACTGTCAAATTTTCTTCTTTGAACGTCCCTTTATATGTAAACAAAGTTTCAATAACAAAAATTAATTATATCTGGAAAGTATATGCATTAGAAAAATACATTACCTGGACCAGACTCCCCCCTTAAATTTCTTTTTTTCCAAATGACCATTCTGCAATTGACCATTAATTTTTTAACACCTTGTAGAACGAACCAGACGAAATTTGTAAATTTTTAGCGCGTTT